TCTTGAAGATTTTAGGTTCTCCGCTCATAGTGAGCTAAGAGAGTAGTTGGAAGCAATAGTAAATAATTGACGAGTACTAATTTGACTTAGTTTATTTTATTGAGATAGATAAAAATAAAGGCTGAAAGGTCGTTAATTGACTCTAATACGCTTATTAATAAAGATACTAAGAATAAGATGTAATAAAGAAGAAGAAGGAGGAGGAACGGGTTAATAAAAGGAATGCGTGTATACTCGTACGGAGCTAAAGCGAGGAATGGAACACATTGAAGTTGCTCAATCAAACTGTGTAGAACTTCCATTTGAACGGTGGAAACTGAATCAAGTACTAAAATACCGTTGTTGGATAAGATCCTAAAACGGTTGAAGATCAATTCTTCAATATAATCACACTACGTATGAGTGAATCACTAAATACATCGTGCACAAATAATTCAAATGTATTCGAGGTCGTCTTCAGTAATAAGTATGGCATTGGCGCTTAAACCAAAATATTAGTAACAAAATGGGATACGTCGTTACTGTAATCGACAACAATCAGCACCTGATCGAATTTGCAGCGATGTAAGAGCGCATCGACGACAATGCCCACCCCGCATCCAATAGCTAAACTGTGTTTTTCACTCTGTATTGGATTCGATTTTATCTCACGTCTATGACACGCTAGTTCATACCGATAAAAAGTCATAAACACCGATTCAAAACCTTTATTGAGTACACCACCATAACAATACTATGATCGATACGCATAATTGTCACATCCAGTCCATGATCATTCACTATACAGTGAGCAAATTTGTCGATCATGATGAATCAACAAACTCGAAGCGGGAAAATTTCGTGATAAACTGATGTTTTAAGTTTGAATAAAAAATGCTCATCAAGATAACCAAACAGAGAGTAACACTTTGAGATTTCGAGTTGGATTTCCAGAGTAAATAGCCGATTTGGGTTAGAGAAATCGTAGGAGTGATGAACGTTGTGAAAGTTGGTAGAATTCGACAGACTAACAGAAGTTGATTGACATGGAAAAATCCAATCCAAGTACAAGCAGCAAATAGAACTATTACAATACGTACATTAACAGATTTGAATAAGATTGAGAGAGCATGAAATATTGAAATCGGACACAATGCTGCTCGTGCAGAAATCCAGATCTCAACGAGTGAAGGAGATACTACGGCACAGAAATTGATCAGTGGATTACGCAATGCACTCAAAAGACATATTGATGTGAAAGATAAAAGAGAAATATGCACAAGTTAATAGAATGAAGCCGAAACTCGTGAGTGATGTCATAATATTGGTACGACGGCTATTCATCAAAATCCATCATCTTCGCTCCAATACCATACTACGTTCCTCGCCGCCATCCACCACGATACGACCGTGTCGATCCATTTGAAAAGCGGAGGGATTGAGTGGATGTAATGGTTGCGTACATACAAATATAATGAAAGAATGTTATGATTTTTTTCGGATGTTTTAAATATTTCACATATACGAACTAATATTTTATGACCGATTATTCTATTAACGTATCATTACTAACGTTATCATGCGATATTTTCCATTATATTGTGACAACCAAATGCGTGAACATGAGTATATTTATATTCAGTTTGAATTTAAAAGTACCGCGTGTAATTTCTTTCATAAAACGTTTTGAATATGTATATAAACACAATCGTGTCGTAAAATAGCGATTACTCTTGCCCTTGAAGAATAGAATTAGTTCATTCCTGCGGCAATTAAATCATCATGCAAAATCAACTCATATTCCTCAGGTTTGGTAGATCGATGAGAAATATGGGTATCGAGATGCATACGACAAACCCACTCAATCCCTCAGCTTTTCAAATGGATCGACACGGTCGTATCGTGACGTTGGGCTGACGATACCCGTCGTAACGGCATTATGACATCTGTGAAACTCGTGGCTAAAAACGGAAAGTTGAAGATATTTGAAAAGAAACTACCAAACATGACATGGTCGCATTTCTTTGACCATTACATAAACAATCAACAAAAAACAAAAGAGCAAAGAAAGTCTGCAAAAGAGATTTAATCATCTTGTGTCGAGATTCATCATTAATATTTCTGTAAACTAAATATCAACTTCGAAGAATTGAAAAATCGTTCGAATTTTGTAATGACTTTAATCTTGTGAAAACTCACATCGCCAAATCAAATTTTGGTTTTCTTTCTCGTTCTTTCATGTTGGAGTACAGAATCCTTTTCTTCAATCTCAATGGATATTCGTGTGACACCGTGTAGCTGCTCATTCATTTCTTTAATCTTATCAAAAGATCAAATCAATTTTGAATCCATCGATCGATATATTTTAATTGAGCTAAATATTTTATTAGAATTACAATATCTAAAACCATTTAACGAACAAGTGAATTGTTCGATCTGATCTAAATTTTCTAAATAATTATCATAGATATTCAACTTTCGAATAAATTTATTTAAATGTTTGGATATTTTATTATCGTCAAAACGACTGATTATTAAATCCGAAGTATAAATCTTTAATGCTGATAATTGTGTTGTACATTTGAATATTTCTATCAGAAAATTTCTTCATTCAGAATGAACTTTCAATAATAAAACTAAATGTTTGATATTTGAACTCAGACGATTCGATTCTGTCACCACAATTGAATGACACATTTTAATTTCCAATTGTCAAATAATTAACATTAGAAAAATAGTATTGAGTATTTAATTCTGCTAAATCTTTGGCATAATCAACTGTTTTCATAGGATTATCAATCGATTCATTGAGAATTATCTGAGTATTTACCTGCCGTTGAAAGACATCAGATGGATATGGTTTTGTGTAAATTGATACTGAATATTCTGATTTGATATATTATGTGTACCAATCGTGTTCATTTTACACCAAAAATCATTTTGAAATTCTTTTAACTTTCCCTCATTGACACCAACTCGTGAAAAATCATCAACATAGAAGATGAATTAGAATTTATGAAATTTTGCCATCTCGAAGCATCGACAACATTTGATTCATAACTATCTAACATGATTAATTAAATGTTCTAAATTTGATGTTTGTTCTAATACCATGAGAACATAATGAATTCCACTATCGAGGGAATTGATGTGTAATGTTTTCAGATTATTTGCAATGCATAAAACATCTTCTGTTACTGGATTATGCTGAAAATAGGACTTTTTCAAATAAGTTAAGTTCGGTGCATTTTTGAACAGAATGAACAAATCATTTAAACAACATTCATCAATTGATAAAAGAATCATTGACGAAAATCGCGTATGTGATGTGATCGATTGTTCATCGAAAACGGGTCAATTTAGGCCATTGATGAAAGGATTGGACAGAGGGTTTTCCAATCATTTGTTGTGATTTTAGATGAACAAATTGTAAAAGGGAGAAGTTGGAAAGAAAGAAAGAAATGAATTGGATAACAAGTCTTTTCATTCGATAAATATAAGGAATAAACTTCATTGGAAATTATATTGTTGCATCAGCTGGTCATTTCTGACAAAACTCTTCACATTGAAATTTTTATATTGAACATTTTGAAAATTTTAACTAAATGGAAAAGTTCTAATGACAGAATTGAACCGACGATTTTATTGATCAAATGAATGAAAATATTGAAATAATATTTCATTCGGTAAGAATTCCAATCTAGCTTGAGACATTGTCATATGAAGAGTGATTTATGAAATTAACGTGCACGTTCTGACTGTTTTTGTTTATATTCGTTAATAACACAGAAAAATGTGTGTTGTTCGATGTAACAAATGACTCATGGTGAGGTTTTTTATGCTTTTTCTTAGTTGTGATTCGATTTATTAAAAGATTGAAATCGTGTGCAAAGACATTCGTTTCATTTTAATCGAATGAAAAGTCAGTGTTTGGAGAGAAACAACGACATTATCCATCGCCGGTTTATCATCAGTCAAGAGAATTTCTTCTTCAAGAATATTTTTGTGCATTTTCATTCGAGCAATCGCAAATGAACCTTGAGATTTAAATGCAGATGTTAAAACATCATCGATCCATTGAACTGCTGCTTTTCCTCCATTCTTATCTCGAATATAAAGATCATCAGATCCGTTTCCTCGACAAAGTTCATTATTTTTCTCTAATTGAATTACATTTTCACTTCGATAAACAATTCTCCATGTTGTACATTGATGATCAATCGTTGGATACGACCCGATTTCCCATGTGACATTCCAACCAACACCTAATGCATCTTTCGGACACGCTTCAACGACACCAAACCAAACACCAGTCCAATCATTTTTATCTATTTCAGATTTACTTGAAGGCCATCCTGAAAATCAAACAAGTCTTCGTCAAATAAAGAAAGGAATTCTTCGAAACACCACACGTACCATGAATTGTCTTACAACTAATGATAATTATGAGACATAGAAACATTGACAAATATCTCTCAACTTTGTCCATTGATACAAAATCATATGAAAATATTTTAATGTTAAAAAAGAGAAAAGATTTGCATAATCCAAAGAAAAATAAATGGATTAAAATGATCTAAACTTGAATAGATCAAAGTGAAAACAAAACGATGTCTCATTCTTTCATCGATTGTAGCGCTTTTGATTTTCTATGTAAAATTAACTAAAAAAATAATTGGTCACTTCTCAAATCTTCATATTCTGCTGACTCATCACACAGTTCGCTTTTCTTACGATTCACAATGCAAAGTGAGACGAAATCTTCTTCAGTGTATGGATTTTTTCAGAACATCGATCTTTTAATGATCTTTTCTTCTATTTAGAAATGAAAATTTTGAGAAATTTGATGAATTAAATTTAAATGAATCACTTTTACGTGGAATTTATCAATACGGATTCGATTCTCCATTAGAAATTCAACGAAGATCACTTCGATCGTGTCTCTCAGGTGAAATATCTCTGCAAAATGAAATGAATCGAATGAATTTCTTTGAGTAGGTCGTGATGTGATGATTCAATGTGAATCGTATTCAGGAAAGACAATAACATCTCTGATAACCGTGTTACAACGAATTGATGTCAATTGTAAAGATTGTCAAGCATTAATTGTTGTTTTAACACGTGATTTAGCTCAATCTGTAAATGATTTTATGGAGAAATGTTCATCTCTTATCGATTTATCATTCAGATCTATGAAATCATTGTTTCACTTGGTCAATTGATGACTTTGTCATGTCATTGTTGTATCGGTGGAGTTCAAATTCGAGAAGATACGAAAGCTTTGGAAAAAAATGTTCAAATCGTTGTTGGAACACCTGCTCGAATCTCTGATCTGCTTAGAAGATCAATACTTAGTATATAAAGATATTTACTGATTTCTCTTCATTGATTGTATTTCTCACTCATAGAAAATGATCAAATTCGAATAGTTGTGTTTGATAATCTCGATGAAATTATTTCATATGGTTTTCAAAAAGAAATTTATGAAATTATCGTCGCATTACCAAACGCTTTTCAAAGTATCGTTTTATTAAACACGATGTCGGAAGAATTGACGAAATTAACGGAGAAATTTCTGAATGATCCCGTGAATATTCTTCCAGAGAAAAAAGAATTGACATTTGAAAATATTCAACAATATTATGTTAATGTGGAACGAGAAGTAAAATCAAAGAAAGTTCTGTGAAAAGAAAATGTTTTTCTCATTTAGGAATGGAAATTCGAAACTTTATTGGATTTATTGAATTTAATCACAACTGATCAAATCATTTTATTTTGTAATTCAAATGAAAAAATCGACTGGTTATCTGAAAAACTTCGTGAAGTCAATTATAAAGTTTCTCCTCTCGTATGTTCAACATTTGAGAACTTTCCCCTGAGAATTTATCGATTGATTTAGTATCGTAAAATGAATTCAAAAGAACGAAATGAATCAATAAAAGATTTTCGAAGAAATTTAACTCGAATTTTAATTCGAACAGATTTAAATGAAAATCAAATGAATATTTTTCAAGTGAATCTTCTTATCAATTATGATCTTCCAACTTCTCTCACTCAATATCAAAATAGGTCAAGAAAACCTTTCAAAAAAATTCTCTTTGATCAATGTATTTTCATTTAGAATTGGATTTTCAGATGAATTTCATCGAAAAAGAATTTTGATCAATTTCATAATTAACAATGAAAATGAAATGTTAAATGAATTTAGACAATTCTATGGAATATCAATTGAACAATTACCATTGAATGTTCTTTCTTGATTTTTATTACATTTATGTAGATTTTCAAGAAATCAGAGCATTGTGATCATTTATTGTTGAACTATCGTATTACAAAAATCTTATTATTCTCTAAGTTCATTGATCTCATATTTGGATTTCAGCTTTCAACATCTTTTGATTTAAATCCGCTATACTTGTACATTCACCTCGTCAGACTGGAATCAAACGAGAACTGCTGATGTGGCAAAGGATGAACTTGAAAAGAATATCTCAATTCTCTCGTAGCTAATTTACTGTTTTGTTTTGCCCATAGTAATATCTGTAATGGAACATGAAGGCAGCGTCTGACATAGAGAAAAACTCGATTTATATCTTTTCAATTGAATACAATCATTTGTCCTGGAAAATTCCGACGAGAAACATTTTATGAAATAAGTAAGCTGAATGATATCGATGCAAATCATATGCTTTTAGCTTGGATTGAATCGAATCGAGGGTTAACGTAGAGAAATAAAATATCGAAGAGGAAAATGAATCGTTGATTAGGTGGAAAGTATCGAGAAAGAAAGAGCGAAAAAGTAAAAACTTAAGAGGAAAAACTCGAAAAGGAGAGTGTGGATGTTACTCACATCGGGAGATATAAGAAATATGAACGGATTCAATTGGAAGCACATCATATCTCTGACTCGTACAGGTTTTTAACTGAAAGCTTTCGATATGTAGATATTTCTTAATTGTATTACCAGATGTTCATGTTGATACCGTAACCAACAAAATTTTCCTGTTATTTCAGTACCAACATGAAAAGTCGGACGAGTTTTCGATATTTTTCTTTTCTAAATTAATCACCAAATCCGTATGTATAAAATAGTATCGTTGATTGATTCATATATCTAAACATTACTTTGCAAATCCAACGCATTTTTTTATATTCGAAGTATTATAAGGTTACCTGTTTGTAAGTATTACTCTCTGAATATCTCTCTTATTTTATTACACGATGCGTCAGATATCAACGTTTTTTTTCCGAAAGAGTGTTATGATGTGAAAGAAAACTATGTTAGGCGTGACAATATTTTAGCAGGTTATCTTAGTCAGTTTGAAAACTTCTTTTCAATTCAGCTACATGATAAACTACTGACCTTCAGTCAAAGAAAAGAATGAACAAGTGAGGTTATGATTTTTCTTGTCGATGTAAACGACAGCATACGATATTTCTTTGAGAAATTCAAAATAGTAAACCAAAAATATCATTACTAAGTGACAATTGAATAAATATGATGTTCTAATGGTCTCTCTCTCTCTGAATAGAAAATTTCAGTAGGAAATTGGAACATACGGCCAACTTGTGAACAATCTCGTTTTTGGTCAAAGATTAGTATTTGAAAAGAATTTCGACGATCGTAACTGTCGGTCGTCAGTAAAATAGTGTTTTAGCGGACCTTCTATTAAAATGAACTTTCCTTCAATCATATGATATTCGTGCGAAGTTTTTCTTCTTAAAAACTACCGTTTTGTGACTATAGAGTACAATAAAAAATGCGACGTCATCAGATGAGAAAGATTCGTGATGACCTGCGTCTTGATAGACTCCCAGAATAGAAAATATACTCATCGAATTGATCTAGGCTAGACCGGTCTAAACTGTAACTATAAGTTGCTGAAAGAAGAATCTCACCACATCTAACTGACTAAAAAAAGTCGCGATATCGAAACTGATGATCACACACATCTAACATACGATATATGGATGTTCTTTTTCATCCGATTCCATCGCATTTCTTCCAGCTTCTTATTCATTTACTCGATGTGAATAGTATTTATTTGATGACGGTCATGATACTGTATGGTGATTATTTAATAGTAGGTAAAAAAAAGAGCTTCTCTTATTGTTTTTTTAGTATTATAAATATTGTCACTATATTGTGCGCAGAGTCCGAGCTCGAGAGCGATACATTAGTTGCATCAGTTACTTTGTTGGGGTCACACACTGAAAGATTCCAAGTGTTTACCGATATCCTAATATCTTCCACATTCGATGCTAATCATCTAATAGAATCGCCATTTGAGATAAAGCGAACGAAGAGAAGCACATTTGATGTTACTTTTTTCTGTGAATATTTTGTCTCGGCAAAAGTGGTCTAATTTGTTGTAGATCTACATTTATTTTTATATCTCTATGAAAGGTAATAATGATTTTCGAACAACTCATTGGAATCCATCGACAGATCAATTGTCTCCATTGTTCATAAAACGATTAAACTTTGGAGACACAATAGGAGTAAATCAACAACTACTGAGCACAAATACCAATACCTTATTAAATGTCAAAACTGATCCTGACGAGATCTCATCTTTGGAATCACTGCTAAGTGGTGTCGTCAAGATCTTTTGCACTTCAATTCCATGCAACTTCTATTTACCATGGGAAGACACACAAATTTATGTCTCTTGATGAAGCGATAGCTCAACGAAATAAAGAGTTGCAGGTATAACTATATGTAAAAATAAGGATATATATTTCCTTATATTTCAACTACTGAGTGGATGGAAAGTGTACAGTAAAAACTTGTCAACGATATTTTTTAATAATATTTTTCGTTCTTTAGGCAAATGGGATCTCAATCTTCTAAAACGGCATCCGAATTTCTAATCGAAGGTGGATGAATTCTATTAAATGCTCATGCTGTTTCAAATTCGTCTGTTGTTCGCATTCGAAAACATGGCGATACGAAGAAATATCCTGCACGCATATATGTAGATAAAGATTAGCTGTGCATCTGTTCATAGCAATGAGATTTGCTTTTCAGGTGGTGATAATTTATCGGTAACAAAGGGTGTCCTTTCAAGAGTTTGTATGTTGACTTATTCGCATTCATGGGAATATTTTTTATCAATACAAATTGATGCTGCAATCAATCCTGGTAACAGTGGTGAAACAGCGTGTATTCTTAACAAAATATTAAAGAAAGATGATGTGATCACAGGTATTGATGAGAAATCAATTGCTGATGATGGAACAATTGATTTTCGTCGTGGAGAAAGACTCAGTTTCATTCATTTGTCGAAAATCAAATTTGTTGGTGATGAAATTTCATTTACAATTATACGACAAGGTAAAAAGTCATTTATCAAACAAAGAATTCTTTTTGAAAGTTTCNAAGTTTCTTTTCATTTTTGAGGTAAAGAAATGAAATTAACAAGTTTATTAGATAATAATTCCGCACTTGTTCCATTACATTCACATGATAAACGTCCAGATTATTTAATTTATGGAGGAATTATCCTCACAGTATTAACTCGTTTTTATTTGTATGAATGGAGTTTTACTAACTGAAAACAAAAAGTTCCAAGACATTTAGTTAGTTTAGTATTCAATGGTACACTGGAAGAGTCAGATCAACAAATTGTTGTTATTAATCGAATACTTGTTGATGGTATCATTATCGTTTCATGTGAAGATGTCAAACAACGAGAAGAAAGAATTTTAAGATAAAATTCAATACCTCATGCAAGAAGTGAAAATTTACGGTAAAAAGAACTTTTCATAATTCTGAAATGAAATTTTTCGTATGTTTTAATTGAACTTTGATCTTCTTTTTCAACATTCTGAAACACAGAAAGATTTCATTGATTCGTTTGCTAAGCGTTAATTAAAATAAAATATTTTCATCTTTATTTCACAGTGAAGTGTCATATTTCCTTTCTAACTCGTAATATACGAACATATTGGAATGTAATGACCTATTTTAGGTTGAGGACGAACAAAGGATGTTCTCTAGTAACCATCATTCTCACAGTGATCTTTTGAGATTCCAAATGAACTAAGAAAATACAACACATCTATGATCAATCTAATTTCTGTTCTTGTGCAAAATGACCAATCACATATTTCAATTTAACATTAATTCTTCCGTCTATTTTGTATGTTTGACCCTTGACCGTTTATGGAAGCGGTAATATTCATTCACCAATCGTAATATAGTTCGTGCTCATCAGATTAAAGTTCATTGTTCATCTCATCTATAAAAGCCAGTGTCAAAAATGAATGTAGAACACTGAAATATATTTTTTTCGTTGTATTTCTTGGAATACTCTCGAAGAAAATGTTAAAGCATTATCAATATATTATCTTATTGTTGGTGCCATTTCTTATTGCTGGTGACAAAAATGATTGGTATGAAATGAACACTATGTATGGATCAATAACACTCAGTGATAGTGGATGGGCAAAGCCAGTTCAAGAAGAAAGAGAAAAAGCGGTTTTATTCGAAGAGTTTCTGGACGATACAAATAATAAAACATATATTCAAATTATGTCTGGAAAATATGCTGGTTATTATCTTTCCGGAAGCATCATACGAGGTGTTGGTGCCTATCAAGAATGGGAACGTGCATCTTATTTTAAGTGGAATGGTTGTTATCTGGAAAATCTAAGTCTTCTAAGACAAGGCCTACAATTAACATACGGACCAAATGGATATTTTTATTATTCGAAGCAATCTCCTCAATATCCATTGATATGTGTAACAAAAATATATCCAAATCGAAACTCGACAAAAAAATGCAATCCAAAAGCAGTTCAAGGTATGTGGAGATATTTATTTACAATTCCAGGAAAAACATCAAGAACATTGCGATCTGGTACAACGAAGAAGTATGCTGAATCGAGAACAGACGAATGGAGTAAACAAGTTACTCTTGCAGCTGCCGCTGGGTCAACATTTCTAGGCTTCGCCGGAGGTGCAGTCGGAGTTAGTGGTACACTTCGACATACAGTCACAGATGCATATGGAAAGGAATGGTCAACAAATATCGAAGATTCGTGGACGGTGGAGTTCGGTGAAAAAGATAGAGGAAAAGCTCTTTGGCAATTTGTGTTTGTTATCAAAGACGATTGTGATCATGAAGAACAAGCACTCATTAGAGAATATGCATTGACACCCAATCAAAGAAATCCACCATGTTGTTTACCTGGATATTCAAGTGATGGTTTGAATTATGGTAGTTGTGATACGGTAGAAGCCCTGATTGAGAGAAATAATACACGTTGCGATATTTCGTATGAACGTCATCAGGTTTTTTTCACTGATTAGTCATTCTTTTAGGAATGTCAAACTTTTCGTTCGTTATTCTTATTGTCTTTGTTTCTGTTCGTACATCTGTGTTTGTTAGATTATGATACTTTAGTGCATAATAAAAATAGATGTCATCTCGACTTCGTGTGAGACAAGAAGAGATGAGGAACGATCCAATCAGCAATTTTCGAACTTAAAAAGCGATTCGATAGTGATAATTTTATACTGTTTAAACTTGAATTTTGTGAATTGCGATGGCTTAGATTAGAATGTCACAAAGAGAAAAAGTGCAGTTCTCTTCTAAACACATCGAATGAATGAACAAGTGAAGCTTGATCCATCATACACAACGATGTTGAACAGCTGGATTTCTTCAAAATCTGCATTCATTTTCTTATAGTTTGATGCGCCTCGTCTAAGAAAAAGTTGGATGACTGGTATCATATTGAGATTGTTATGAAATGTTTAAGGAGAAAATTGTGAAAAACTCTCCGCGATCGTCTTACACAAGTCGACATTGGAGAATCTTCTTCATAAAAAAGAAAGAGATCAGAGTTGAAAGTTCTGTCAACCGTGAAAGTTTTGTGAAAATAATTGTGAATACTTTGATATCATTGAATTGTATTGTTACTCTCCTTGTTTCAACAATATCCAATGAAGTGTATCAAATGACGAGAAATATTTCTTTTCTCATATCTTAATCAAAAAGAACTTGGTGAAGAACAAAATGATTTTCGTGTAATACTAAAAAAAGAATCATTTTTTATTTGAAATCTCTTTTTCCTATGGAATTATTCGAAAAATATCGAAAGTTAATCAACTAAAAACAATGAGAATTCATTCTATTCCATGATATTCTGATTTGTGAAAGTTATTTCTAATAATCTGCATTCGATTTGTTTTTTCGAAATGTTCAACATCGTCAAATGAATTGTGAAGAAAAATGAGAAATTGTATAAGAGATCTTCACACGTTCAAGATGATGTCGATTTTAAAAGAATAAAATCATCAAAATGAACAGCATTTTTATGTAAAATAGGTTTATATGAGATTAATTTCGAATATTGTTGAATTAATTTCCACCAATAACAATTAATTGCATGTTCATTTAAATATTTTTTTACAAGATTTTGTCCATTTTGTCCAATTTGTTGAGATAAAGTTTGATTTGATGTTAAAAGATAAATTGTTTGATTTAATGCCAATGAATTTGTTTGATAAAAGAGAATATTAGTTTGATTGATTAAAAGATGATACCAAAATTCTTGCCAATTTTGTATTGGACTATGAATAACTGGTGAAGCACAAAGTAAAAGATATTTTAATCTCGCTGAATAAGAATTTCCTTCTAAATGAGCTAAATATTTATAATGACAATGATTTTCTAATTTTGTAAAAGAATTTGATAAATCAAAAGGAAATCCTTTGATATTTTTCTTCCAATGAATTTCTTTAATATCGATAATTTGAGGATATTTGAAAGTGATATTAATGAGCCAATCTCTTTTCCATCCTCCAACTCCTCGCCAAAACACTTTTTCTAAACGATTTTCATATTTCATTTGTTGTGCTGAATGTAAAATTGAGTGAAATTTATTTTTCCATCGTCCAACATGAACTTCTGGCCAACTCCAAAAAGTAAAACAAGGCATTAAAATAATCGATTGTGATCTTAAACCAATTTTTGTTGAATTTGTTTTTGTAAAAGCGAATATGGGAAGTTTGAAAGTGACATTTTCCATTTCATTTTTCGAATCGACAACATCTTGAACATTGAAGAAAAGATCGAGATCAGGAAGATGAGAAAATGTTTCGATCATATTTTGTATTAAAAATAAAACACTTTCAGTACGTGTTTCATAGTTAAACGAATTTTCTCTTCGAACATAATAAAGTTTGTTTTCAATAATTTGAATATGATGACATTTTACACATATATTCGACATGTTTTCAATATCTTCGAAAAAGATTTTCGTCTTTTCAAATGCTTTAAAATCCCAATGTAAACGAGAGAAGAAATTCGGTTGTTCATCTGTTGAATAGAGTTCATCACAAATGTGATTTTTCTTGTTTAAGGGGAATTCAATAGAATTTGATGAAAGATTTTCACAGAGAAAATCATAAAATGGTTTGACAATATTCGAACAATGATTTTCAGTTGATGAAAAGATTTGATTTGGAAGAAAAGATTGGAAATGAAATTTAGTTGTAAAAAGAAAAAAGATCAAAAGAAAAACGAGAAATATATAAAAACCTTTTCGATGTTGATTTTCACACATTGTAAATTCACAAAATTGTTCTTTACTTTAATAAAACAAAGAAAAACAGAAAGACACGACATTTTCTCTTCGATCTAAAGAAAATGTTCTGAAAAGAAATGATTGAAATCGTGTTTTTCGCGAATTCGAATTTTTCAAGGACAAATCTGTTTGGTTAATTTCTTTACCAATGAATTTTATTTTCATCTGATTGTCAATGAAAATGAATTAATTCTTGACATTTATTTCAATATTTTTCATACGAATTATTTCGACAAATCTTTGCGTTAAAAAGTCGAATCGAAAAAAAACTTTTTATTCAATTGAAAATGTTCGAATTTCGGTTGAATAAATTTCATTTAACTATTCAATGTGATTTCAATTGAAGTTAATGAAAAATTTCTTGACAAAGTCGATCGATTGACTTGCAAAACAAATTTATTAAAGGAATTTTTCTGTTTCAATTTCATTTCATAAAATTCGACACTTTTGTGTTTATTTTATAGTGAATCAATTCGATGTTTTATTAAATGAGAATTGTGAAATAGAATTGAAGATTTTAATTGATAAATTTGTAAATATTTTCATTTTAGGTCTTTGAAATTATTCGTTAACAAATTACAAAGAGATTTTTCCTTTTTGACAAATGTCTCTTTCATTTTCGCAATTGGACTTAAAAGTCAATTCGAATGGGGATTTATTGATCAAATTGTTGAACTTGAATGAGATTATGATACGTGTAACAAACTTCATCACATCTTTCTGAATTTCTCATTTAAACAGACAGTCAATCAATCTTGAAAATCAGAATATGAAATTAATTATGTATTCATCTCATCTTTTTCTTACAAATTTTCTTCAATCATCATATGAAGTGGTTGATGATGCTAATCACTTTAATTATTGAATAAAACACGAAGATTCTCCAAAAAAAACATCTTTATTTGAATAATCTCATGAAAGATCTTTTTCTCTGTTTGATCTGATTTGTATTCAAATCAATGTGAATAGAAGAATTGTTCTTTGATAGAATTCAAAACAGTTTGAATATTTAAATGATTATTCTTTCTTAATATTAACAAAATAAAGATTGATCTCAACATACAAAGAACTTTGAGATTTTCTCTTAGAAAATGATTTTCTGCTGAGAAATTAGGTCATTGTCCCTTGATAAATTCATTTATGCACATATACATTATCGATGTACCATAATGAATGGAAGTTTGACTTAATCATAGGAAAATCCTTGAATTTTATCAGAGAAAAATAATAAAAATCATTCTTATGTTGATGTTGAGAGTATAAATGTTGCCTTTTACTCTCATTATCATAAAAGTCTCGTATCTTCATTTATTAATAAAGAGAAATTTTTCTTTTATAATTTTTCAACAGTTGTTAAATCTTCTATGACGACTAAACTGAGAACGGGTTTATAAATGTGATCTTTTGTCGAATCAATACCATGAAATCCTCCTAGAACATAACAAGTTTTTTTCAATCCAGTACTGTAATTTTCAACTTGAACTGGAACTTGAATTGAATTCAAATGAATATCTGAAGATGTAATTTTGTCTCGATTTGTTTCTTCAATATCATAAAATAATTTTAAAATCCATCCATTAAGATATTCCGCACTTCCAGATCGTAATCTTCCACGTTTTGCATCAACAATATGATTCCAGAACTCGACATTCACATTTCCTTGATAAGTTTCGATAAATTCATTTAAAATCGGTATTAAATTTTGAAGATATTGGAAAAATGAATCATTTCGAATGGTTAAAGACATTAATTGTTCAGTTTTCTCTTTTAATAATTTCCAATCGAAGAGAGTTCCTTGAAAATGAACATTTCTTATTCCACAACCAGGAATACATCGACTATATTCAAAATATGATTGAAACGTGTCCATAATACACGCATAAGATAAAACCAATTCAATTTCTGTTGTTGTAGAAAAATTATTTATCAAATTATCGACAATTTCGGAACTTTTGACATTTTTTGAAATTTGTATTTGCATTTTTCCGAAGAAATCTCTCCAATCTTCTTCACGTTTCCCTACTGGTTCAACAACAACAAGTTTTTTCTTTCCATCATGATCGACAAATAAATTTCTAAGTTGTTCACTATTTGAATTGACATATTTAGAAAAATAAATTGTGATCATTAACCAAAGATCATCTGGTGATAAGGATGTGGGTGTGTGTTGTGTTATTCTATTCATAGCATTACGAGGTCGCGTTTGAATCAACAGATACTTTTACGATTGAAATTATTGGAGAAGAAACTTAGTGAAAATCATTTATTAACCAAATTTCCTTAATGAGAGATAGCAATTAACATGATAGAAAACAGCTTTTCAAGAAAGTGCAATTAGAATAGTAAAAAAATGTGTGAGTAAAGATCTTAAACTTACGATAAAAAAGGAAGATCTGTATTATTCTCTAATCAAGGAATTATATCTATAGTGCGAAAGTTTTAGTCCTGTTATTCATCTAACAAATGAGGTAATATTATCATCGGTCATTTTGTTAAATTTTATTTTATTTTCTTTTGATAAAAAATTTAAAAAAGGTGAGGGAGAAAAGAGCTATCGATATCGACATCCTCATCTGCCTTCAAGATAGTTGAATCTTTACTTTCTCATTAACATCTGTCCTTCACATAGCTCTTGTGACTGGGCTGGTACTCGAACTGGTGATGCTGATGGTCCACCGAAACCTCCTGAACCAAACGGTGTATCGATTGTCCATCTTCCACCTACTCCAAATGTGAAACCAAAACCAAGAACATTGGCTTGTACTCCTCCGGTTCCCGCTTTGACTCCTGTGTTTGCATTTAGACCTGCAGAAACATACAGCGGGCCAAGTGTTACTTCGCCCTTAACCGCACTTAACTCCGCCATTGCCGACAATCCAGTCTCGCGAACACCTGATTTCAGTCCAGCATCAACGCCCGCTGAAGGGCCTGTGAGTGTAAGTGTTCCAAGTCCATTTCCACAGCCCGTTTTAGCTTTCAACAGCTCGACGCCGACGTCCACTCCAACATTGAGAACCTCAACATCCGAATCTGTACTCCAACCTTCACCCCGTCCTATTAAAAGATATATTACGATCACGTTCTCAATTAGAAATGATTTATTATCATATTTCTCTCTACTTACTATTGGATGTTTCACATGAAGCGTCCCTTTCGGAGCCAGTATTCCAGTTAACATCATCCTTAACATTAATCCATGAAAACTCCGGATCACTCATGTTCACTATGATAGTGTCGAACAGCCATTTTTGAGAAATAATAATTTAGAAACGCAAAGTTTCTCTAATTTATTTTACTCCTAAGAAAATAACATCTACAAAGTGAGAATCGAGATAAAAAGACAGAGTGCGGCGACGACTATTAGAGTATCTCGTCCCCGTTTTATGTCTCTCTTTATTCGAAACAGAAGATATTTATAGGCATGCTGTTAGACAAGGGAAAAATCCAAAAGATAGTAAATATAGATAATACCTAGAGCAATGAATCAATGGCATAGCATCACGTATATGGAGAGAAAAGAACGAAAACCTTTTGAATCGCATTACAGCTAAAGGCCACATGTGTCGTAGCAATAAAGAACAATAAATGCATACAAAAAAACAGTCGAATATACTTGTACATAACAGTGTCATATGTTATAGTCTGCAAAGGAAAGAAAAGGGGATCTGTTCGAGCATATGAGATAAGAGAGATTGGAAAATTTCAGCACGTCACGAAGTATTCGAACGATGGAAATTGGTGGTACTGACAATTATTTCAAAGTATGAGCTTTATATTATAGTTTGGTGATCGAATACTAAATGCAGCTGTCGAAAAAAGGTTCATGACGGTAACAATCAGTCTAACAGTTCGAGAAAAAATTATGCATAAGAAATTTGTATCGTTGTTCAAGATAATTCTTCGACAGAACTGTCAATATTGATGTTTGATTTGAACAGTGCATGAGGATGAAAGAGAAGATTAATAAAAAATTATTGAACTTTCCCATACGAACTCGCTCATCGTAATCTTTTGAAATTCAATAGAAAATGACGATGTTCGTAAAGAGATTTGCTTTATTGATGAAGAGAAAACAGAAAGAGATGTATATCTAACGACATCTAATTTATCCTTCTGGTTTCCATATTTTCTGATCGATCATGTTGAATCTGGATACTAAGATTTTTACGACTAACACAGCTGAAAAGATTGTTTTTTTTTTAAAGTGGCTTTTAACGAGAAACTCTCTTTCTGCAATGATTTTCTCGTGTTCCTGCGCGATAGGGGATATTGAATTCTTCTATAAGAAAAGTTATTTTTCATCAATCTGTTCTAGAGCTTATTAAAATTCTATGATGTATTCAACTTCTTTGCTTCACTAAAGAAAGGCTTTGTGAATCTTCCGGCAGTGTTGCAGTAATTTATGCGTCTAAATACAAATTCTTAAACATATCATAAGTTTTTCATGAAACTGTGCGTGTTGTTTTATATCGCCAGTACAAAATCACTTTGATGATTTCAACCTTAAGATCATTTCGCAAAGCGATGTAAAGTCTATCAAATTAAGTGCTCTCTTTATGAATAATGGAATATCTTGGTGTATAAACACGCAATTTATCTCAATCGTTTTCCACTATTTGATAGTGTGAATGTAGATTTAAATATTGATATAATTATTTTACTGGTTTAGTTCGTTCGACATCGGAAAAAAATTAATAGATTAAACTTTTGTTAGAAGAACTTTCTCGTTGAAATAATGTTTTATTTTGATGTCATCACAAAAAGCGTCATCTGAATGATTTCGTAATCTAATCTGACAATTGATCGTTTGAAATAAAATTATAAAAGTGAGTTATAGACGATGTCCATATTCAATATGGCGGGATCAATTTTCTTTCTATTATATGAATAAACTAATCCCATTAATTGACTTCGTGGAATTGATGATGGTGCAAATATATCAAAGTAAACCATTCGACTGTATTTTCCTGCTTGAAGATACGTTTGAAATCTTAATCCTAATATGGAAAGATCTTCATTGAAGTTTTTCAATTCTGTATTAACTAAATTATATCTTCGAAATGGAACAAAATATAATTGATCGATAACGAAACCATTTCGATATAAAATCACATGACCATATTGACGATTGATCAATTCTTCATACGATTGACGACGACAACAGAAGAATGTAAAATAATCTGCATTTGTTCCTTTTCGATTTGGACCAGAAATATAATTTAGAAATCGTATCCATTCATCACCATCAAATTTCCAAACGGTCATATCTCCACCAATTTCATTATAATCCAAACCTTTAAACAATCTTTTCATATAAAAAGGCCAAACACAACAGATAAGAGAAGTAAGAAAAATAGCAAATCCAAATATTGTAATACCGAATGAAAACAGTAGAGTATCTACTAATGAACATTGATCAGGTGAATTCTTACATTCAGGTATCAGATATGATGTGATAAATAATAGAAAACCAATGAAGATAAAGATACCACAAGTAAGAAGAATGTGTTTTCGTTGTTTACACACACGTTTCTTATGGATATCGATTAGTTCAGTAAATAATTGAAAATGAATCATATTATTCGATTTGGAATTGATGTGTGATTCCATATCCAATGACAGAACATTCTATATGAGAAACAATATTGATTTTAAGAAGAGAACTATCAATGAATGTGGATTCAATTCTAATCTTTATCATATACAACAATATCAAACTCACCGTTGATTGTTTATCATTGATTTGCAAAACCAAGAAAGTATTTTTCTTCTCTTTTATTTGTTCATTTATCGAAATATCTGATTGAGAATTCATTATTTTAAAAGTATAATCAAAACCAACGATATATTTGAATCGATTACAAAGATCAGTCAACAATGAAAATATACGGATTTTCTTTTCTTTATTTTCTTTTGTTGGTCCAATTGAAAAGATATTCTCTGTAATTTCAACAGAGATCGCTTTATCTTCGTTTAAATCGACTTTTCTCTTTGTACGTTAAAAAATATTCGTTTTATTTATCTCAATAAGTCTGTCATTAATCTTTCATTAACAATTCTTCATGTGAATTGTTTATTATTGTAATATTCTGATTGTTAATTCGTGTGGAATTATTTTCAAGTCACATCCTCTTAATTACACTTGAATTATGCGTCAATTTTATCTGTTATTTTCTAATTGAGATACATCCCTATGACAAAAGTATTCTTTTGTTAACATTTCGCTTTTTTTCCATAAAAACATATTAAGATAATTAATAATTCGAGAATTCATTTTTCATCTTTTATTTAAGAAACGATGTGTTGAAATAATTTTCTGTAGGTTTTCTTATTGTTAAAATAGGAATGAACAAATGTCTCATTTCGTGTGTATGAGTAGATTGAAAAGAATTATTGAGAAGTTTCTAATTAGACTAAAGTTTTTAGATCGGAAAATCAATGATGTTCAACGTTTTCTCGATGCATTTTTATATTTGATGAAGAAAAAAAAAGCGAAGTGTTAATAATATAGTAAACACACACATAAACATCATCATCTATGAAATTATAATGTATGAGATATTAACGAGTAGGTGATACTTTGAAGAAGAACAGAAAAAATGTCTGGTTTTTTTGTAAAAAAATATTCGATAAAATTACCAAATGAATTTCACTATTTTGAGTCAAGTTGGTGAAAATTTAACATTACTAAGTAATGAATTGTGGTTTATTCCATTCGATATTGTGATGATTATTTTCATGACATTAGCTGTAATACTTACTACGATATTTTTAATTGTAATATCAATAGATAAAACATGTCATACAGTACAAATGATGTTTGTTACTAATAGATTATTTAGTACATTTGTACTTGGATTATTTTTACTTGGTTCAAGTATATTTACATTTCGAAATGATCTTCAACAAATTCAATATGAAGATTCACTTTGTATTTTTCGAGGTTATATGATTTATGCATCAGGTGCTGCACAAAATTATTCGAATGTTGTTGAAGCTTGTTATCGATATTTTATTATTATTTATCCAACGAGATTATATTTTCGATCTGTTCGTTTCCAAGGATTTATTATTTGTTTATCATGGACATTTTGTTTTCTATGTCCATTGCCATTTTTATTAACGAATAATATCATTTACAATGTAAATAATCAAATTTGTCAATTACCTCTTCATCGTTCTTTTCTTCTAATCTATATGGCATTTTCTATCTATGGAATTCCTATTTTATTAATTATTTTAAACTATTTTAAATTGGTTCGATATGTAAAAGCAATGAGTGAACGTGTAATATCTGCAAATACTTTACTTCATGCAAGAAAAGAATTAGAAATAGTGAAACGCATTTTAACACGTATAACAGTAATGATTATAACTTTTTTACCTCTTACATTGTTTATCTTCATGTCATTTTTCGATTCTGTACCTAAATATCATTTTCGTATAGCTTATGCACCTATGTACATCGCAACGTTTCCTCTTTTGATTGTCTTATTTCAATTTACAGATCCACTTAAAGCATCTGTTATGAAAATAATCAAATGCCGATCAAATGCGATCGTCGCAAGAGTAACATAAATTATTGAAAAACATTAAGAAACATCGTGTTCGGTTCTTTTGTCATTTTATTTCTGTATTAATACAAGTCTTAATCATCTAATCACTTTGTAAGATGAGTCTGTTTAACGATGATGGAATTTGAGGAAAATAATGAAAAAGAAAAGCAAAAAATCACAGAAGATATAAGAATTTAATGTTATTCAGTTTAATTTATTATACTATGTTTGGTTATGAATCTTGTTTTTTCTTCCATTCTTGTTTACATTTTGCCAAGAATTGATCTTTTGTTGGTTTCGCACCATTGTTTTCATTGAAAAGTACAACTAATATTCCTATATAAGCTTCTCCAAATGCTGTAGTAATGGATGTTGCAACAGCCGCATCAATTATACCACCAGCAATTGATCCAACACCTGGAATAAACTTTAATAGTGATGCCAAACCGAGTCCAACAACAGATGCACCACTTGCTGTTGAAAAAATTCCCCATAAAGCAATAATAACACTTCGTTCGATCTCAAAACCCAAAACTGCTGTTATAGATATAATCATTCCTATTTCAATTGGTATAAGAACTGCCATATCAGAGAATGGTATTGGTATAGCTCCAGCTGCTGCCGCAGCAATTGCTGATGTTCCGACAATAGCATGTGCCTTGAGGATTTTTGCACTGAAATCGGCATTTTGAGCAGCAAGAAAAGCGATCTGCTGTGCTGCTGGTAGTAATTCCTGTGTCATTTTCACCAGGATTGGAAGTCCTGCTGATGGAATAGGTGGATATTCTGAACGTATAATCTTCTCCTTGGCAACAACAGGTATAACTTTAGGATCTTGAAATTTTTGTTGAATTACATTAAATAAAGTGTTGTCTTCATCGTAAGATTGTGTAATAACAATAATTACTGGAATGTACTTGGAAATCATTTCCACAAAGGCTATTTCCCCTTCTTCCAGTCGATTCGACGTTTGTGAAATACACATCCAAGCTATGTGAATATGTTCATTTATATCCTTATTCTTTTGACACTGCTTTATAAACGAACAAACTTCATCCATTATTTTTTTATATTCTTTCATTTCAAGACCACGTGAATCATACAGTGTTACTGAAGTACCTGGTATCACATATTTCTGTATATTCTTGGTAACTGGTGAACCTGTGCCAGTTGTGGCTACATCTTCTTTGAATACTGCATTGATCAGAGTACTTTTACCAACACCAGTACGACCAACAACTATTATATTTGTTCGACCTAACTGCTTGATTTTGGCGTCAATATTTCGAAGTAAACTTTCATCTGTTTGAAAACCTGCCATTCTTATTGATTTGTAAACGACAAAAACAAACTATAAATGAATAACAGAGAAATTGTATTTAAAAAAAGAGAATTATCATGTCAGCAAAAGTTACTTTGTTGTTAACCTATGTAAAGAGTTTTTGTTAATTCCAGCTATTTATTTTTATGAATCATCGCTAACAATCCGATCTGCTGATGTTTTTCTCCCAATGGCACAAAAGGTAAACCTCTACAGTTTAGTTATTCTTTCGAATAAAGCGCAAATGCTCGAGCATTAATCATATTTGTCTTACAAATACTATAGTAGGGAACGCCACCTATCATCTAGAGCGTCGTATAGAGTTATTGACGATATTTATTATGAATCAAATAAACATGTGGTTTTAACTCTCCGTTTGCTTTTAAAAGTTTATTTCTAAATATCTTTCTTTTTGTTTGAATTGCGATTGATAAGTAATTGGAATTTTTCTCAAAATCTTGTACAATTCTATGAAATATAAAGAAAAGGAGAAAAAATCATGTAGTCGTAATGACTATAAAAGTACATTGCTTTCTTTATAGGAACACTTTTAACGATTCTATCGTCTATTGATCGTCAATATGTGAACAGATGAAAAGAAAAGAAGATAGATAGAGAGAAGGCACCAGCTCTTTCTGATTCGAATTATTTGGTATATACGAATAGAGATGCATTAGAATAAATATCAGTTATATCAAACATATTAACGTCATTGTTGAATTAAATAGATTTGTTTTTTTTTTCATTCAATTATGAATTGATTGAAAGAAGAAATATTTTTCAAAGAGAAAAAAAGAACACTTTTGTCTCGTTCTATTTTTGTCTTTCTCTACTGCGCGACCTGATGAAAACTGGGAAATTTTCAGTTGAGAGAAAAACTATATAAAAAAGTATCACACTTAAGTTCTGTTTTACCATTGCTGCTTCTCTATTTATTTGACATACTAATCAAGTGAAAGAATGTCTTTGAATGCCAATGATGAATTAGATCTTTCACATCCATGGTTGATTGAGTTTCATTCGGACGACAATCAGGAAGCGAGTAATGCTGTGGACAACGTTGTACAACAAGTTGAAAGAATGAAAATTATTGAATCGTATGAAAGTGCATATTCTGGGGTTTCGAAATCATGGATGGAACATGAAAAATTGACAGGCGAAATCATCAATCAAGCAGCGAAACGAGCTGCAGCCGAAACTTTCAAAAACATTTGTGTTTATCACCCAACTCAAAACCATAAGTCATCGCGAAATGGATCAAATATTAGACCTGATTTTGTTATTGCATGGAGCTGCGATGGTGCTCGAAAGAATACAGCTATTGTAGATGCTAAGGATCATCATGGACACGTTCCACGCAGTGAATACGACAAAATTCGTCGGGATATGAAAGAGACTCAAGTAAGAAGTGTTATTTTATTATCCGATGACCTTTAAATATCTTTTTATAAATAATTTTCAGGCAACACGAGGTATTCTTGTCCTTGGAAAACATGCATCCATCAGTGATAAACTACGTGATGATATCGAAAAAGATAACAGAGTTGATATTGTTCACGTCAGTAATAATCGAGATGAGACAATTCGTCAAGTTTCACAACATATTGTCAAAATTGTTGATCCAAACTTCGTTCTCGATGATCAACGATGGAAAACATATGAGCCATATGTTAATATGACTGAACATCCAAAAGAACGAAGACTCAATCGACATGGAGATAGTTCTCATTACACATCCGATAGTATTTATTATCGTTTGAATTATCCTAAGAAACAAGATGGTACCATCGATGAACGATACGCAGCCAATCAAGATAGAAATAGAAATGGAGGACCCGATATGCGTATGATACATAATAAAACACAACAAGCTCAAGAACAACATTTAAATCAAGATGGATCAAATGACATGCGCAATAAAGAACATCGTGAACAACTAATCGATGATACTGGTCATCATACAAATACAGATGGATCACTTGATATGCGTTTTAAAGAAAATAAAGAAGAATCATCACCCACTAGTCCGTCGATTGTTAACAACGAACAAAATACAGACAATGACGATATGCGTTTGAAAGTGAATCGAGCAGATGTAGTTGATAGTGAAGGTCATCGTCAAAATATCGATGGTTCTCCAGATATGCGTTGTAAAGAAAATCAAGAAGGTAAATTAGTATTGAAAATACACATCATTATTTCATTCAAATAGTTTTTACACATTATTTAGACGCAAATCCATCGGAAGGATATAATCAAATAAACACAGAAATTCCAACCAAAAACGATGGTACAGTCGATATGCGATATACGATAAGCAAAGAAGCAGTTGCTTCAGGTGTAATCACATCTGACGAAAATCTTGTCGAGACAAATGAATCATCATCAGTGAATGGAAATGAAATAACTTCTCGTAGAAATTTCCACAACATTATTCACATAACGTTATTTAATTTGAAATTTTTATTTTGTAGAAGAATCTTTTTTGAATGATATTCCAACAAAAAACGACGGTACAGCCGATATGAGATATTCAGCTAGTCAAGATGCAGTAGCATCTGGAGATATTAGTCGTGATCAAGTTCTAACTGAAGGTAATGAATTTTTATCATTAAATCTCTGCTTTAAATTTAAAATTTTTTTCTCTGTAGGAACGATGGGAGGTGTTGGTGATGGTCCTTTAAAAGCGGATGGTACACCAGATATGCGCTTTAGCACTAATCAATAAAAACAAAAGAAGAATAAATTCTAGAATTTCAATATTTTATCCGCGAATGGTATTTTTAATCTGTATAATATCTTATTGGAAAAAACTTTATCAACAAAATAAAATAAAATAAATCATGATTCACTTCGATCATTGTGAAAGAGAAGATTTTGGCTCGTTCTATTCAAAAGTTTACTCAGTTAATCATTGACAAACATTTACTAATTTCAACATCCTTCCGAGATTTGATTTAACAGTCTATAAGTTATTTATTTACACTATGCGATCTTTGATCCATCATAAGTAGAAAAAAATGAATTTCTATGTCAATATTTTCATCCAATGTGGAAAAACAACGTAGATTTTTAATCACGTTGTAGAAATGTTTTGATATCAAAATAAATTAATCGGAAAATTGATTTAATTGTTTGAAAATGTTGAATAATTGGATAAATTCCAACAATAGAAAATGAAATTAATAACCAAATTATTCCAAAACAAATCCAACAAATAAAAAATGTTTCAGAAAAAATATACGATGATGCAAACATTGGCCATGGCCAAATAATAATGAAACAAATTGTTATTCCAATTGCTAAAAAACAAATGAATCGTGAATTATCTTTTAAATAAATAATTGCACGTTCAATTTCAACAATTGTTGAATTATTTGTATTTATTAAATCATCTTCAATTAAAGCAATTCTTCTCATTGATACAAAATCATAAGGATTTTCATTTGGTTTAATTAAATTCAATAAAGGAATAAATAAACAAGGACTTAATAATGCAACAAGATTTCCAATCAACATTGATAAATTTGATCCAGTTGTTTGAATATTAATTTTTTCAAAGAAATATTTTGTTGTTAATAACCAAGAAATAATTGAACATATTAAACCCAATAATGGTGAAAGACAAACAGCTAATTTATTTTGTTTAGTTGATAAAAGTGTAAATATAACTGGTATAACAGCACTTGATATAAGAATTCCCATTAATTTATATAAATAACCCATACTGATTGAACTATAATATAAACCAATAGATAAAAAATTCATTATTAAAACAAAAATGAATAAAGATAAATGTGAAATAAAAAATAATTGTTTTTTTGATGCATTTGGATGAAAATAAATTCTATAAATATCAAATGTGATTATTGAAGTAACAGCAATAAATTGTGAAGACATTGCACTTGTACATGTTAAATAAATCAAAATAAAACTTAATAAACTTCCAGTTTTTCCAAGTAAAACAATTGCAGCTGAAGGTAATGTTAAACCAGATGTTATTTCATATTCATTTAATTGATTTGGATATGTTGGAAATAAAGGATTTGTTTGAAGTGTTATAGAAATAATACCCATAGTTGTACCAGTTACAAATGGTATTGCAAACCATGCTAAACCACTAAAAATATATGCACGTACAATAGATTTTGAAGAAGCAGCAATAACTTTATTATAATATCCATTATCAAGAAAAACTGTTCCAAAATTTCCAATAAGATTCATTAAATAAAACATTAAACCATTTCGAGAATTAAATGTTAAATAAGAACCTTGAAAATTTCCATCAACTGGATGATTTAAACTTTCATTAACAAGTAAAGTATAAATTTGAGAAAATGAACCCAATAAAGATGATGTTTGATATGTTACAAAAGTAAAAATAAATATTATAATAAAAATAATAACATTATGAATATAATTTATTAAAAATGTTCCTTTTATTCCTCCAAATATTGTAGAAATTATTGTTCCTAATGGTAATAAAAAACATATTGTAATAATATTTATTCCACATAATGAATGAATAACAGCTGAACCACCTGTTAATAACATTAATGTANATGCACCTATGTACATCGCAACGTTTCCTCTTTTGATTGTCTTATTTCAATTTACAGATCCACTTAAAGCATCTGTTATGAAAATAATCAAATGCCGATCAAATGCGATCGTCGCAAGAGTGACATAAATTATTGAAAAACATTAAGAAACATCGTGTTCAACTCTCTTGTCATTTTATTTCTGTATTAATACAAGTCTTAATCATCTAATCGCTTTGAAGATGTGTCCGGTTAATGATGGTAGAATTTGAGTAAAATAATAAAAAAGAAAAGCAAAAAATCACAGGGGGAAAGATATAAAAATTTAATGTTATTCAGTTTAGTTTATTATACTATGTTTGATTATGAATCTTGTTTCGTCTTCCATTCTTGTTTGCATTTTGCCAAGAGTTGATCTTTTGTTGGTTTCGCACCATTGTTTTCTTTGAAAAGTACAACTAATATTCCAATATAAGCTTCTCCAAATGCTGTAGTAATGGATGTTGCAACAGCCGCATCAATTATACCACCGGCAACTGATCCAACGCCTGGAATAAACTTTAATAGCGATGCCAAACCGAGTCCAACAATAGATGCACCACTTGCTGTTGCAAAAATTCCCCATAAAGCAAGAATAACACTTCGTTCGATCTCAAAACCAAAAACTGCTGTTATAGATATAATCATTCCTATTTCAATTGGTACAAGAACTGCCATATCAGAGAATGGTATTGGTATAGCTCCGGCTGCTGCCGCAGCGATTGCTGATGCTCCGACAATTCCATGTGCCTTGAGGATTTTTGCACTGAAATCGGCATTTTGAGCAGCAAGAAAAGCGATCTGTTGTGCTGCTGGGAGTAATTCCTGTGTCGTTTTCACGAGGCTTGGAAGTCCTGTTGACGGAATAGGTGGATATCCTTTGCGTATACTCTTCTCCTTCGCAACAACAGGTATAACTTTAGGATCTTGAAATTTTTGTTGAATTATATTAAATAAAGTGTTGTCTTCATCGTAAGATTGTGTAATAACAATAACTACTGGAATATACTTGGAAATCATTTCCACAAAGGCAATTTCCCCTTCTTCCAGTCGATTCGACGTGTGTGAAATACACATCCAAGCTATGTGAATATGTTCATTTATATCCTTATTCTTTTGACACCGCTTTATAAACGAACAAACTTCTTCCATTATTTTTTTAAATTCTTTCATTTCAAGACCACGTGAATCAAACAGTGTTACTGAAGTACCTGGTATCGCATATTTCTGTATATTCTTGGTAACTGGTGAACCTGTGCCAGTTGTGGCTACATCTTCTTTGAATACTGCATTGATCAGAGTACTTTTACCAACACCAGTACGACCAACAACTATTATATTTGTTCGACCTAACTGCTTGATTTCGGCGTCAATATTTCGAAGTAAACTTTCATCCGTTTGAAAACCTGCCATTCTTATTGATTTGTAAACGACAAAAAAATCAACTATAAATGAATAACAGAAACTGTATTTAAAAAAAGAGAATTGTCATGTCAGTAAAAGTTATTTTATTGTCAACCAATGTAAAGAGTTTTTGCTAATTTCAGCTATTTATTTTTATGCATCATCGCTAAAAATCCGATTTGCTGATGTTTTTCTCCCAATAGCGCAAAAGGCAAACCTCTACAGTTTAGTTATTCTTTCGAATAAAACGCAAATGCTCGAGCATTAATCATATTTGTCTTACGAATACTATAGTAGGGAACGCCACCTATAATCTAGAGCGTCGTAGAGAGTTATTGACGATATTATTGTGAATCAAATAGACATGTAATTTTAACTCTCTGTTAATTTTGAAAGTTTATTTAAAGTTATTTTTCTTTTTGTTTGAATTGCGGTTGATCAGTAATCGGAATTTTTCTCACAATCTTATGAAATTCTATGAAATAAAGAGAAAGAGAAAAAAATCATGTAGTCGTAATGACTAAAAGTACATTGCTTTGTTTACAGGAACACTTTTAACGATTCTATCTTCTATTGACCGTCAATATGTGAACAGATGAAATTTATTTTGTTTAATTTGATTATCTTTATAAGAATTATACTCCATGTACATTTCGAGTATTTCAGGCTTGTCAAAAAAAGCGATGCTAACATCGATAGATGAAAAGAAAAGAAGATGGACAGAGAGAAGGCACCAGCTCTTTCTGATTCGAATTGTTTGGTATACGAACAGAGATGCATTAGAATAAATATCAGTTATATCAAACATATTAATGGCATTATTGAATTAAATAGATTTGTTTTTTTTTCATTCAATTATGAATTGATTGAAAGAAGAAACATTTTTCAAAGAGAAAAAAAGAACACTTTTGTCTCGTTCTATTTTTGTTTTCTCTACTGCACGACCTGATGAAAACTGGAAAATTTTCAGTTGAGAGAAAAACTATATAAAAAAAGTATCACACTTAAGCTCTGTTTTACCATTGCTTCTCTATTTATTTGACATACTAATCAAGTGAAGGAATGTCTTTGAATGCCAATGATGAATTAGATCTTTCACATCCATGGTTGATTGAGTTGCATCCGGACGACAATCAGGAAGCGAATAATGCAGTGGGCAACGTTGTACAACAAGTTGAAAGAATGAAAATCATTGAATCGCATGAAAGTGCACATCTTGGGGTTTCGAAATCATGGATGGAACATGAAAAAGTGACAGGCGAAATCATCAATCAAGCAGCGAAACGAGCTGCAGCCGAAACTTTCGAAAACATTTGTGTCTATCACCCAACTCAAAACCACAAGTCGTCGCGAAATGGATCAGATATTAGACCTGATTTTGTTATTGCATGGAGCTGCGATGGTGCTCGAGAGAATACAGCTATTGTAGATGCTAAGGATCATCATGGACACGTTCCACGCAGTGAATACGACAAAATTCGTCGGGATATGAAAGAGACTCAAGTAAGAAGTGTTATTTTATTATCCGATGATCTTTGAATATCTTGTTATAAATAATTTTCAGGCAACACGAGGTATTCTTGTCCTTGGAAAACATGCATCCATCAGTGATAAACTACGTGATGATATCGAAAAAGATAACAAAGTTGATATTGTTCACGTCAGTGATAATCGAGATGAGACAATTCGTCAAGTTTCACAATATATTGGGAAAATCGTTGATCCAAACTTCGTTCTCGATGATCAACGATGGAAAACATATGAGTCACATGTTAATATAACTGAACATCAAAAAGAACGAAGACTCAATCGACATGGAGATAGTTCTCATTACACATCCGATAGTATTTATTATCGTTTCAATTATCCTAAGAAACAAGATGGTACAATCGATGAACGATACGCAGCCAATCAAGATAGAAATAGAGATGGAGGACCCGATATGCGTATGATACATAATAAAACACAACAAGCTCAAGAACAACATTTAAATCAAGATGGATCAAATGACATGCGTAATAAAGAACATCGTGAACAACTAATCGACGTTACTGGTCATCATACAAATACAGATGGATCACTTGATATGCGTTTTAAAGAAAATAAAGAAGAATCATCACCCACTAGTCCGTCGATTGTTAACAACGAACAAAATACAGACAATGCCGATATGCGTTTGAAAGTGAATCGAGCAAATGTAGTTGATAGTGAAGGTCATCGTCAAAATATCGATGGTTCTCCAGATATGCGTTGTAAAGAAAATCAAGAAGGTAAATTACTATTGGAAATACACATCATTATTTCATTCAAATAGTTTTTACACATTATTTAGACGCAAATCCATCGGAAGGATATAAGCAAATAAACACAGAAATTCCAACCAAAAACGATGGTACAGCCGATATGCGATATACGATAAGCAAAGAAGCAGTTGCTTCAGGTGTAATCACATCTGACGAAAATCTTGTCCAGACAAATGAATCATCATCAGTGAATGGAAATGAAATAACTTCGCGTAGAAATTTCCACAACATTATTCTCATAACGTTATTTAATTTGAAATTTTTATTTTGTAGAAGAATCTTTTATGAATGATATTCCAACAAAAAGCGACGGTACAGCCGATATGAGATATTCAGCTAGTCAAGATGCAGTAGCCTCTGGAGATATTAGTCGTGATCAAGTTCTAACTGAAGGTAATGAATTTTCATCATTAAATCTCTGCTTTGAATTTGAAATGTTTTTCTCTGTAGGAACGATGGGAGGTGCTGGTGATGGTCCTTTAAAAGCGGATGGTACACCAGATATGCGCTTTAGCGCTAATCAATAAAAACAAGAGAAGAATAAATTCTAGAATTTCAATGTTTTATCCGCGATTGGTATTTTTAATCTGTACAATATCTTGTCGGAAAAACTTGATCAACAAAATAAAATTCATCATGATTCACCTCGATCATTATGAAAGAGAAGATTTGGCTCGTTCTGTTTAAAAGTTTACTCAGCCAGTCATTGACGAACAGATACTAATTTGAGCGTCCTTCCGAGATTTGATTGAAAAGTCTCAGTTATTTATTTACACTGTGGCCTTTGATCCACCATAAGTAGCAAAAAACAAATTTCTATGTCAATATTTTCATCCGACGTGGAAAAACAACGTAGATGTTTAATCGCGTTGTAGAAATGTTTTGATATCAAAATAAATTAATCCGAAAACTGATTTAATCGTTCGAAAATGTTGAATAATTGGATAAATTCCAACAATAGAAAATGAAACAAATAACCAAATGATTCCCAAACAAATCCAACAAGTAAAAAATGTTTCGGAAAAAATATACGATGATGCAAACATTGGCCATGGCCAAATGACAATGAAACAGATTGTTATTCCAATTGCTAAAAAACAAATGGATCGTGAATTGTCTTTTAAATAAATAATTGCACGTTCAATTTCAACAATTGTTGAATTATTTGTATTTACTAAATCATCTTCAATTAAAGCAATTCTTCTCATTGATACAAAATCATAAGGATTTTCATTTGGTTTAATCAAATTCAATAAAGGAATAAATAAACAAGGACTTAATAATGCAACAAGATTTCCAATGAGCATTGATAAATTTGATCCCGTTGTTTGAATATTAATTTTTTCAAAGAAATATTTTGTTGTTAATAACCAAGAAACAATTGAACATATTAAACCCAATAATGGTGAAAGACAAACAGCTAATTTGTTTTGTTTAGTCGATAAAAGTGTGAGTATAACTGGTACAACAGCACTTGATATGAGAATTCCCATTAATGTATATAAATAACCCATACTGATTGAACTATAATATAAACCAATAGATAAAATAATCATTATTAAGACAAAAATCAATAAAGATAAATGTGAAATAAAAAATAATCGTTTTTTCGATGCATTTGGATGAAAATAAGTTCGATAAATATCAAATGTGATTATTGAAGTAACAGCAATGAATTGTGAAGACATTGCACTCGTACATGCTAAATAGATCAAAATAAAACTTAATAAACTTCCAGTTTTTCCAAGTAAAACAATTGCAGCTGAAGGTAATGTTAAACCAGATGTTATTTCATCTACATTTAATCGATTTGGATATGTTGGAAATAAAGGATTTGTTTGAAGTGTTATAGCAACAATACCCATAGTTGTACCAGTTACAAATGGTATTGCAAACCATGCTAAACCAGCAAGAATATATGCACGTACAATCGATTTTGAAGAAGCAGCAATGACTTTATTATAATATCCATTATCAAGAAAAACTGTTCCAAAATTTCCAACAAGATTTATTAAATAAAACATTAAACCATTTCGAGAATTGAGTGTTAAGTAAGAACCTTGAAAATTTCCATCAACTGGATGATTTAAACTTTCATTAACAAGTAAAGTATAAATTTGAGAAAATGAACCCAATAAAGATGATGTTCGATATGTTACAAAAGTAAAAATGAATATGATGACAACAATAATGACATTATGAATATAATTTGTTAAAAATGTTGCTTTTAATCCTCCAAATATTGTATAAATTATTGTTCCCAATGGTAATAAAAAACATATTGCAATAATATTCATTCCACATAATGAATGAATAACAGCCGAACCACCTGTTAATAACATTGATGTAACAAGAATATTTGTAAATAAGAAGAATAGAATAAATATCCAATGTCCTTCTCGACCATATCGTGCACGAATGATTTCTAAATATGTATGAGCAAATGGTGCTCGATGTTTAAATTCAATTGCAATAATTGAAAATAAAATAATTTGAATTGTTGCACCATTTGCGTACCAAAATGCACCGGATATTCCATAGAGATAAGTAACTGAAGTTGATTGTAAAAGTGTAGCAGCCCATGTCCATGATGAAACAATTGATGATGATAATAAACCTGATCGAATCTTTCGATTTGCTGTTAAATATGTTTCACTTGACATTTGATTTTCACCATTGAATCTTTGTAAAAGAAGTGTTATTCCAATCATCATAGAACTAAATAATAATCCAAAACCAATTAATATTATATAACCATCGATTTGTGTTAAGAATGATGTTGTAAACATTTCTTTTTCTTTTTTTCAAATACAAAATGAAACTTTTGTAGAAAACGATGTTCGTTATATTTTCAACTGAAAAGGAAATAAATACGTAGGATTAGAATAGAAGAATCCATGCAGAATAATAACACCAGTAGACTTTGTCAGTATTGAAGGAAATCGACTTTCAAGTACTTTTCTCGAACAAAACATTCAATTTATTTGAACAAGTACAGATACTTCAACAATTTCGACTTTTGAATCTTTATCAAACAATTCTCTTTTGATAATAAGAAAATCACAAGTGCGTGAGTACCGATACAAAATGTACACGCATCAACACATCCTCTACTCTCACCAAAGACAATACATAAGAAAAACGACAACTCCTAGCACATGCAATCGGCACATGAGGGTGAGGACCCGGAACTTGCAAAACAACAGTAAAAACGAAAAACACGCCTCATCTTCCGAGGACTGTTGGGGGTGTCCCTCACCATAACCCGATTCCTTGCCAAAACAATCCGCACTCACACCATCCATAATCCTGTACTCATGTATTTGTACTGATACCGAGGTATGTGTAGACTCATTTACTCAGTACAAAAGTATTCTTTTGTGTTAAACTCGCAATTATCGTTATATTCGAGTTGAAACATATAGTTCGATGTTTAGATTGAAAAGAATTACGATAAATTTTTATTAAAATTGACAAAAAATGATTCGAAGAAAATCTTTTTAAAATGAAAACTGAATAAAATTTTCATCTAAAACTAAATTATTTATGAATAAAAGAGAATTTAACCGGAATGAATCTTTTTATTTGTATGATCTCTTGCAGCAATTGCTAAGAAATAAAATTCATCAGGAATTTTATTTGATAAAACTTGTAAATCATATTTATTTTTCCAAAACAATGATGAAATTCTTTTATGAAATTTTGCTAAAATTTCTTTATTTGATTGATCAATAAAAGTTGTATTTAATGACGCTGCTTTTCCTTCCATTGTTAAATCAATTGAATTATAATTTAAAGTGAATTTATTTCCAACAATTTTATAATTTTGATTGATTGTTCCATTTTTCCATTGATTTAGATTTTTATTAAGAATCGCAATGGTTCCTTTGTATAAAACAACACTAATCTTTGCTTTTAATAAACCAATAGGATTTTTTTTTGTTAAACCTTGAAATAATTTCACATTATGTGTCGCACCGAATTTCGATTCCATTCGAAATAAAGCATTTTTACCTTGGGTATCATAAATTGTAAATTCTCCACCTTTCAAACCACTAATTAAATCTTTTTTGATTAAATAAGTTCGGTTTACTGCATGAGAATATTCATTACAGAGAAAGAAAAGAAACAAAACCAAAATTGTACTTGTTTGAGACATTTTATTTCGTGAAAATGAATTTCGTTCGTAAATGGATATTTCATTAACTTTTTTTCTTCTCTTTTCTTATCTAATTTTATCAAACACACAAAAAAAAAGAAAATCTCGGTTAGAATTTCCCAATTAAATTTTGTTATTTGATCTTTCGATCAACCTTGATTTGTCATCGAACAAAATGTTCTATTAAATGGCTAAACCATAAACTGATACAACCGCGTACATCGATTCATTTTCCCAACTAAAATTCAAATGAAGAAGAAACTTCTCGTAAGAAAAAAGCAAATGTTTTACTGAAATGTTGATGAACAATCTTGATCAAAATCCCAAAAACATGAACTTGTTGTATGAAGAGCTGAATGATTCTTTTGCATAATAACACAATAAACAATGTATTTATAATGATGATTTAATTTAACAATTGAATCTAAAATAATTTCAACAATATTTGATGTCCATTGATTCATTTGATTTGCTTGATAAGATTGATAACCGATAGTTAATTCAATTGTTTCACTAATAATCTTTTGGATTTCTTTATCATCATATTTTTCATAATCGAATTCATTCATTCTTTCCATTTGTTTGTTTCTCTTTTAAATAATGAAGACAAACGGTTTTTTACCTTTCGATTCGTTTAAACAAGAAAATTCTTTCAAAAGCAAAAATATTTTTTCTTTTTCTTTTCAAGTGAAAATTGTTTTGTTGATTTTGAAAAAGAAAAACTAATTAATAGTTGATTTTCAATTTTCCTTTGATTAAGATTCAAACGAATAGTCAATTGAGTGAAAAGAAAATGAATATATAAAATCTTATTCCCAATAATAATGATTTACAATCAAAGAAGAAAACACAAAGTCGAATTTAACAATGCTGATGAAGTTATCGACAAAATTAATTTCATAAAAATCATAGTAAATGCTGGAAATATTGTATAAAACAGAAAATATGAAGAGATTTATTTGAAAAATAATGAATGATTTGAATTAGAAAATATTTCCATGTAATTCATTGTTTATCTTAATTTCTTAAAAACAACATAAATGTATAAATAAATGATATAGAAATGATCATTCGTCTGAAAATTTGCAAATCATCTTGATATTTTCAGCTAAACAAATATTTTCTTGTCTTTGACGTCTTGCGCATCTATTTTCTTCTCACACCCCTCATCTATTTTTATCGACTATTTCTTATCATTTGCGTAGGATTCACACTAATAGATCGAATATTCTTCAAAAACTAAGATGAAAACAATCTTTCATTCGTTTCCAACAAATGAAATATCTTTTCCAATCGTAATTGATCAAATGAAAATTTCCGATCGGAAACAGATTGAAAATGATTTTGTGTGAAGAAAATATTGAATAGTTTTCGAAAGATGATAAAGCTTTTTTTTTTGTCGAAAACAAATGACAAATGAGAAAAGAATCTCATTTGTAAGAAAAGAAAAATGGCGTTATCATCGATGACATGAGACATTTTCTATTGAATATAAAATGAAATTTTGAGAAACAAATCTTTAAAAAAAAGAAGCGAAAATGAAATCGAAAAATTTGTTTTATTATTTGGCAATTACAATTGGAACATCATCATTATTATATCGATCATTTCAATTGATTAAAAAGAAATTTTTCTTGAAAAGAAAAGTTTATTTAAATGGTTTATCATGTTCATTTCCATTGAATTGTTATTCTCAAGATGAAATGAAAGAAATGTTTATTGAAAATTATTGTGGCGGAAAAGAAAATCTTCTGGAAAAAGATTTTGATTTTATTCAACGAGTTTTTCAAGCTTCATGTATTGACACATCTTATGTGAATTTATCAAAAAATAATTTATTCAAACGAATGAAAAGAGAAGAATATACAAATTATGTTAAACAAACTTTAATTGAAATTTCATGTAAATCAGCGAAAAATGCCATTGAAAATTGTCTTCATTTAAATTCCAATGAAATTACTCATATTATTTTTGGAACAATGACAGGAACAATTGCAGCACCATCAATGGATATTCATCTTGTTAAAGAACTTCAATTAAATTCAAATATAAAACGTTTAAATGTTGAATCAATGGGTTGTTTAACTGGTTTTCGATTAATTGGTTTATGTAATGATATTGCATTACAAGATGAAAATAATATTGTTTTATTAATTGTTTCTGATATTCGTTCAGCTTTGGGAAATCAATTAACGCCATTTGAATCCAATCAACCAATTGATAAATCCAATGTGATTATTTCTGCACTTTTTCGTGATTCATCTGGTGCAGCGATATTTTCTCAAAAAGCAATTTTCTCCAACGAACTTTCCTATTGTCACATTTTAAAACATCAATCAACAATTATTCCAGATACAATTGAATTGGGTCGTTTAAAAGAATTCAATGATTCAAGTATTCATCTTTATTTAGATAAACAATTGCCTTATGCTGTTTTTGATGCTCTTCCAAATTTTGTTTCGAAATTATTAAATGAATATCAAATTGATATTTATCATTGTCAATTTGCTGTTCATACGGGTGGACCAAAAATTATTCGTGGAATAAAAGAATGTTTAAATTTAGATGATGAACAATTATGTTCATCATGGTATGTAATGACACATTATGGAAATCTTAGTGGATCAAGTAATCTCGTTGTTTTGGAACATTTTTGTCGATGGAAATATTCGGAAAATAAACCAAATGAAAAAGGAATTTGTTTTCCCAAAGATTTCAATCGATATAAATATATTGTTGGACTTTCATTTGGACCGGGAATTGCTGTTGAAGGTGTTTTATTCCAATTAGAATGAGAGAAAAGTCAATATGTGCCTCTATAGCTCAGTGGTAGAGCGCCAGTCTTGTAAACTGGAGGTCCGTAGTTCGATCCTGCGTGGAGGCATTTTCGTTTTTTTTCTTGTTTTCTTTCTGTCTATGTATTATGTTTTTATTTCGAAAAAAGAAAATCATTTATTTTTCAATTGAAACTTTTTTTTTATAATTTTCATAAATCGATTGAATTTCTTCTGAAGAAATAATTTGAGATAAATGTTGAAATGGATTTGGAGAACGATGATCAATAATACGAAGAATTTCATCAGGTCCATATTGACGTGCTAAAAGAACCATTCGATCAGTTAAAGGATGACGAATACTTTCATAATGTTCAAGTGCTTTATTAGTAATTCCATGAAGAATAAATGATCGATATAATTGTTGAGCATCTAAAATAGCTTGTGAAGCTCCATTACCTCCATTTGGATACATAGGATGTGCGGCATCACCTATTAATGTTACACAATTAAATGTCCAACGAGGTATTTGATCACGATCGGTGATTGGAAATTGATTTATATTCATTGATGATTTGATTAATTGTTCAATATCAATGAAATCCAATTTCATTTCTTGAATTAATGGAAGAAAATCTTGATGATTACCTTTGTTTGTCCAATCAATGGAATTTAATGATAATGAAGATGAATTTGTTTCATTTTGAATTCTCAAAACACACGCCCAATTAATTAAATTATTTGATAAAGGATATAAAATGAAATATTTCGTATCTGGATTTCCCATACAAATCATTGTTTTTCCATCAAGATAAGTATTTTCTTGATAAGTTATTCCACGCCAAATTTGAAGACCTTTCCAAACCGGTAAACCTTCATTCGGATAAAAAATTTTTCTCACACTTGAATTGATTCCATCAGCACCAATTAAAATCTTTGTTTGAATCACTTTGATTTTATTGATTTTTGTATTTAAAAATTTCAATTCAATTAGATTTGATTTTTCATTAAATTCAATTAATTTATGAGAAAGTTGAATAGTCGATGGAGAAGTTAATTTTTGTAATTGATAAAAAAGTATTTGATGTAAATATCCTCGATGTACTGAATACATTGGATGAGAATAACCTCCATCTAAACCTCGAAGATCTTCAAAAATGAATTGACCATGACGAGAATAAAACAACGCTTTTTTTGTTTGAATTCCAACTTGATTTAATTGATTTTCTAATCCAAGTTCATAAAGACATTTTACGCAATATGGTTGAAGATTTAATCCAAATCCAACTGTATCAATATGTTCCGATTGTTCAAATAAACGAAGTCGAACATTTAAACGACTTAAATATAATGCTGTTATTAATCCACTGATTCCTCCGCCAATGATTGTTATATCAATAATATCATCATTGTCAACTGGATTCATTGATTCTCTGAGTGCGTTTCATTCACTTTTTTACGTATATATCCAATGATACTCTTTTCTCTTTTTTTTTCTTCTGTTCTGTGGATGTGATATGAAGAATGAAGGAAGAAAAAATACAACGAAGTATCAATACTGTGGATGTCGCAATCGAACGATTCAATTTCTTCATTTTTTTTTTCGAATAGATTTCTTAGTCTAAGTTTACAAATTATTCGATTTAACTGAAAGATATAATCGAACATTAAGTTCTACGCGTAATACATAGGAAAAGAATTTATTCGGAAATCCAAACATGAAAAGATGATTTCTTTTTCTAATTCACATTTATTCATTCTCTTGTTTACCTTCTTTTCCAATCGTCGTAGTCAAATGTCTCCCTGGAGATTTCGACAATGGAATCCGTGACATTTTCGAATAAATTCCTGTCGGATCCGATCGTTGAATCATTTATCTTCGGATGAAATATCAAATGAATTGTTCGAAGAATAACTTCTATTTCATAGGAATTTTACCAGAAGTACATCGAATATTTACAATCGAACGTTCATATTCTCTGTCATTGAATAATGTTTATTTTACAATGTGTTCTTTTGATTATCATATCAGATGTTAAAGATATTTGCTCAGTAAACCATCATTCTGACTGTTCTTCAATAATTCCATTGTCATATTGATTATGTTATTAGTTTGTGCACAACTTTGTCTTGATTTTAAAAAACTATAATGAAATGCATTTATGTGAAGCTTTATAATTAACAAAAACATTCCATAATGTACCACATTGACTATTTCATTAGTTTGTGCAATAACTCAATGTGAAAATCAAATGCGTCTATTTCTTCTTGTTTATTTCCCCTTTTCTTTTGCATGAAAACTCATACATGATCGTCGATGGTTCATAAAAGTTTTCAAATGAAACAAGCAGATATTTCCACTTTATCATCACCATTGAATGGTAAAATAATTGTACTCGAACTTGGTTATGAAATCAGTTTGAAAAGTAAACAAGAATTAATGAAATATTTACGAGAAAAACAAGCACGTATTTCATATATATTGACATCCAGTGTATGCTCACATTGAGTTTTCTATTGATCATATATTTAAAATTGATTTCTTTAGACTGATTATGTTTTATCTACAAATAATGTCGATACTTACAAAATACGTCGTGCTAAACAACTTGGTTTACCAATAGTTGATGTTGAATATATATGGAGATGTCGTTCTTTGTCATCTGATCAAAAACAAATTGATATTAATCAATTTATTATCAAATCAACGGAAGATCAAGAAAATTTTAGAAAAACGGGCACTATTTCCGTGAGAAATATTTGTAATTCGTGTTCGATAGGAAGATCTCGAACGAATTTAACTCAAATGAAATTGTGGAATTCTGATGAAGTCGGTTTACCTCGTTTTGATGAATTAACTCATTGTGAAATTGGTAAATGGGCCATTTTTAAAGTAAATTTTCTATTTTATGATTTTCATAAATTTTTTCTTTTGTAAATAATAGGAAACTAATGAAACTTTCGATGTATTTTTTGTTCTTGAACTTCAAGTTATTCCTGAACAATACTACGATCAAACAACAAGTGATTATCGATTAAGATTTCGATATGAAAAACGTATTATTGATCAAACAGTGTTAATACAATATGCATTTAGTAATGATTCAAATGAACAACAACAATTATTTGCATCATATTATGATCGAATAGCTAAAATGCCACGTATAACACGAATTCGTGAAATATTACATAATCAATTAGGATCAAAATTATTATTACGTGTAAATAAATAGGATTTAGAGAAAAAAGAAGAAAAGGAAAAATCAATTTGTATTTTTAGTCATTATTTACTCATTGTATTGATACACAAATACTCGATGCAAATGTGTGTCAATTAATCGAATCACTTTGGTTGGAATCAATTGGTGATTTAAATCAAATTCTAAGTATAAAACCTGAATCATTTACTCTTAAAACGGTATTTACAAATATATTTATATGAATTTATCAATTGAAATTATTAAATAGATTATTGAAGCTGAAGCTGCATTACTTGAACTCAAATTGACCAATGATCCTGCTGTTGCAGATCGTTTTTATTCATTAATACCCCATCGATCACAGTATCATATTGATCTTATTAAGAATCGTCGAATATTGATTGAAAAACTCGACTTGTGTCAAGTAAAATTGTTTTTTTAAATTTCTTCTCTTTTCTTTCTCAATTCTCTTATTCAGATGCTTCGAGATATGTTAACAGTCAATGAACTAACTAATTGGAATGTAAAAGCATCAATTGAAGCAAAATATCGAGCATTGAAATGTCATATTGAAACAATGTCAAATTCAACATCGGAATTTAAGAATATTGTGAATCTCATTCAATCATCCAGAAATAGGTGAGAAAATTGTACATAAAACAATTTTCTTCTTATTTATATAATTATAGTAATGAACAAATTGTTATTCATAATGTATTCAATGTCGTTAAACAGACAGATACTCTCAATTTTTGTACAAAATTATCCAATCAACAACAACTTTTTCACGGATCAAAATATTCAAATTTCCTCGGAATTCTTTCACGGTAAAATATTCGTTTTATTCTTTAGAAAAGATTTTAATATTCCGATGATTATATGTATAAAGAGGTTTATCTATGCCAAAAATGGTAGTTGAAGAATTAGGTGTTGATCGCACTGATATTGGTTGTCTTGGACATGGAATTTACTTTTCTAATTCTGTTTCAACATCTTTAAAATATACAACAGCAAGTACAGTACGATCAGGTCGTCGTTTATTATGTATTTGTCAAGTGGCACTTGGTGAATCAGCTGATTATTATTCATATTCACCAACACTCATCAAACCTCCTGATGGTTTTCATAGTACACATGGAATTAAACAAACTGAAGATAATCATTCAATATTTAATGTAAGTTTCAATGAAAAATGAGAATCAATCTGAGAATATTTTCTAAATATTGTGATATGTAGGATGATGAATATGTAATTTATCAAGTTGATCAACAACGTTTACTCTACATTGTAGAAGTTTCATGGATATTAAAAAATGAAATTAATATTGAATTAGAACGATTATCAATTATTCATGATGAACAAAATCTATTTAAAACAAATGAAATTCCTACGATATTAATCGATGATGATAAAATTACTGAAATAGCTGAACAAGATTATGGTTTAATATGTTCATCATCAAGACAACTTGTTCCACTTAAATCATTTCATATTCGTGCTCAAATTATCGATACTACAGTTGAAGTAATTCGATCGATTTTTCTATTGAATTCATTTCTCATATATTTCTATTTGATTTCAAAAACAAAAGGTTGTTCTCTATCAAGTTTATCAAAATCCAAGTTCAATTCCAATTGAAGCCAAATATGTATTTCCTCTTGATGAAAATTCAATTGTTTGTGGTTTTGAAGCACATATCAATAATCAAATTATCAAAGGTATTGTTAAAGAAAAACAACAAGCGAAACAAGAATATAAACAAGCTATTGAAAAAGGTCATGGTGCTTATTTAATGCATCAAGAAGAAGCACAAGTATTTAGTGTTGCTGTTGGGAATTTACCAGGTCATAATGAAGTTATTATTAAAATAACTTATGTTGCACAATTAGACATTGAAAATGGTGATATTATTTTTCGTTTTCCTGCTAAAATGGCTTCATGGCAATCGAAAAAAGCGATCGAAAACAAAGATCAATCAATTTTACGATCGATTAGTATTATCGATGAAAAAGTTCAATTTAGTTTGAAAGCATCAATTCGAATGCCATATGAAATATCGAAATTATTTTCACCAACACATCGTCTTCGTCGAAAATTAACTGATTGTACAGCTATGATTGAACTTGTTGATAAGATTTTATTTGATCAAGATTTTATTCTTTCAATAACACTTAAGAATCCTAATTTACCTCGAATATCAAATGAAACATCGAATAACGATGATTCTCAAGTATCGATGCTCACATTTTATCCACAATTTCAAACATTAATGAATTCAAACGAACAAATTGAAATTATTTTCATTGTTGATGTGTCAAATTCAATGGATGACAGTCAGACACAACAAGCTAAACAATTAATTCATTTGTTTCTTATGAATTTGAAAGTTGATGATGAAAAAACATATTTTAATGTCATTTTTTTTGGATCAGGTAAGAAAAGACAATTGTCAAGTGTTATTTTATTATTTAAATTATCAATATTCATTTAGATAATGATGAATGTTTTCCTATTTCAATGTCAACAAAGAAAGAAAATCTGGATAAAGCCAAATATTTTGTTCTTGTGAGGATAATTTCTCTCTTTTTAATCAAATTTTCGTCTATTGAAATTTTAGCATTCACCTGTTCATCGTGGGAGTACAAATCTATTTGCTGTTTTTCATCGTTATTCATTATTACCATCAACATTATCATCGAATTTCGGTCGTCAATTTATTTTATTATCTGATGGACATATTCACGATCTTAATTCGATTCTTATTTTACTTAAACATCACCCAACTATGCAACATGATCGTTTATTTACATGTTCAATTGGTAATATCGCAAATAAACATAATTTAAAACAATTGACTAATGAAGCAAATGGAGGTGGTTTATTCACAATATTTGATTCAAATTATCGATCAAAATGGAAAATAAAAGTATTGAATATTCTCGATAAGATTCACCAACCATGTATTACAAATATATCAATTGATTGGCATGGTTGTTTCAATAAAGAACAAAAGTTTCATATACAAGCACCAAAAAGAATTCGATCTTTGTTTAATGGAATGCGACTTACTGTTTATCGATTCATAGAAAATTGTCATAAGGCAACATTAACAGCTATTGTAAATGGACAAGAATTTGTTACAACTGTATTTAGTAGTTCAATGACAACTAACAAAGGAAATATTTTACATTGTTTAACTACACGAGCGATCATTGATGATTATGATAATGGTCTATGGAATGTCGATGAAAGTGAAAATGAATTAATTAAAATTCAATATAAACGAGATCTTATTGACCTTAGTATTAAACATTCTGTTATTAGTCCATACACTAGTTTTGTTGCCATTGAAGAACGTAATATTCAAATCGATCAAAATCATTCATCTTCGATTAGAAATGTTCGTTTACTTGATATTATGCTTGAACGAGATGAGGATTTATTACCCTATATGAGTTGGGATGGTGATGTATCAAATTTGACTTTAATCAAACAAAACTTAGCCGATGCACGTCTTTTACTTCAATGTGCATCGTTTCAGAGTAAAAAGGAAACAATTGCTGATATTGAAAAACTTTGCCAAAAAATTTCGTATCGAACAGGTGGAGATGAAAAATTCAATGCAATGATGACGATCATACGTACATATCGTTATTCATTGAGTGAATACGATCAAGCAGATGAAATTGAAGAGAAAATGCGACATGGTATCTCATTTGATTTATTAATAATATATATTTAATCGAAAAAATCAATAGATATTATCATCGAAATGATTAATGCAACAGAAGAAGAACGACAAATATTGGAACAACAATGTTTCGCGAATAATTTAATAATCTCAAGCGATCAATTGTAAATCAAAGACAAATCTTTTTCGGAAAAAAAAATCAATATTCGTTTGTCTTTTAGTAAATTATTGGCTGAACATAATTCCACAGACTTTTCAATTGCGAATAATACTAAAATAAGTGTACGTGAGTGAAACTGTAAGACGAAGAATTCTTCTATAGAAATACTCTAGGCTGATCAATTGACTGAAGAACAAATAGCTGAATTTAAAGAAGCGTTTTTTCTATTTGATAAACATGGTGATGGTACAATTACAATAAAACAATTAGGTACCGTAATGCGTAGTCTTGGTCATAATCCAACTGAAATTGAATTACAAGATATGATCAATGAAGTTGCTGCTGATGGTACGATTTTAATCAATCAAATTTGATTTGCTTCATTTGTTTTTGTATTGTCAGGTAATGGTACAATTGATTTTCCTGAATTTTTAACAATGATGGCACGTAAAATGAAAGATACTGATTCAGAAGAAGAAATTCGCGAAGCATTCAGTGTTTTTGATAAGAATGGTGATGGAATTATATCAGTTGACGAATTTCGGTAACGAAAGAAAGGCAAATGTGCAAATTTATTTATTCTGTTTCTTTCTTTTTAAAGTCATGTTATGACAAATTTGGGTGAAAAACTCACCGATGAAGAACTTGATGAAATAATTCGTGAAGCAGATGTTAATGGAGGTATAGACCTTTTTTTTGTAACCAAAACCCACTGAAATGAATGTTAAAACATGTTATGTTGTGATTTGAGGTGTCGATTTGATGGCGTTATTTGGTTCGTATAACCATGCAACTGATAAATCTGTATCGACTCCCGATAAGTCAAAATCATACGAACGATCTGAGAACATAGAAATATCTCCAAAAATCTTATCATTTGATGGTGAGAGAGAGGAAAATCTGCAATTTTCTGCAAATGAATCGAAAACTTCATTTTCAGCCAGTTCAGTATGTACATTTTCCATGGAACTTTTTTAAATAAAAATGTTATTAACTTTTAGAGAGAACATAATGAGGATGACTTAATAACATTAGCGTCTAAAAGTGTTGAATCAAAATTCAATGTTTGTCCACTTAGTCTTGGAATAGAAGATATTTATGGTAATATGCATACACTTATTCATCGTAATACAACGATTCCAGTACAAACACAGTTTCATCAAATATTCACAAATGCTTATGCGTATCAAACATCAGTTAATATTCGTATATTTGAAGGTGAACATAAACTTACAAAATACAATGTATGTAGTATTGGAACTTCAGAAACTTTTTGAATACAATCGTCCTCTATATTATAGATGTTTTTGGATGAATTTAGTCTTTCTGGTTTAACAAATAATTTGTTTGATCAAACACTTAAAATAGGCGTTCGTATGAATATTGATGTCAATGGAATACTTCGTGTTGATGCTGAAGAAGCTTGTTCAGGAGCAAAAGCATCATTTATTCTTTCTTCTGATAAGCCAAGTTCGAGAATTACTTTATATGTTCCATATTATCATTGAATGTCATTTATATTTCTATAGGAATGAGCAAAGAAGATATTGAAAAACATATGACATTTGTAGAAAGTTATACAAATTCTATAGTTGATGATGATAAATCCAATGATTCATTATATCCGGTTTGCATTAGTTTATTTATCTTTATATAAAGTTTAACATTTCACTTTGTTTTTATCTTTTCTCAGCTTGATGGTCAAATTACAAATATAACACATACTTTTTCTGACAAATTGGACACTTCATTCGGTAATTTATTCTTATTTACTATTTTATTGTAATGATATATAAATTTAGATCAAAAAGTTAACGTAACATTTCTTCGAAAAATGAAAGACATTCAATCAACAACAACAATCATTGAACAATTGCTAAAACTTCAATCTGAAGTAGAAATTTCATAAAATATATTTCTTACTTTCTATTTTATTCGAATCTATAGGATGGTTCATTTAGATTGAATTCCAATTTAGCTGATGTGTTTCGTATTGATCCTAATAGTTTAAATCATATTGAAATCTATTTAAATAAACAAGGTTTTAATTTACTTGGTAAGATCCAATGATTTTGTTTTTCACCAATATGAAATTTTTCCTATTCTAAGCTTTGAATATACAAAATGAAATTTATCATTTAATTGGTACGGGTATCGTTCTTCTTTGGTTTATACTTCAACTACCATCTCTACATCAGTATACAAACCAATTTTTATCCAACATCGAACAAATCGAAGTGAATGAGATTCTTTTTCGAACTATTTATTTTATATTCGAACTGTTTTGTCTTTAAATCTTTAAGATTGATCTTTGCAACTTTTTTCCTGATAACATAATTGAACATATTAACAAAGCGATTGAATTCTACCGACAAACAAGTCAACGTGATGATATTTATTGTAAACAATTGGGATTGGATGATTCATCATGGAATATATTTATTCAACGTATATTTATCGGACTTTGACAATGTTAATCACTAACCGATCATTGGAATTGATTTTTCTTTCTAAACTTGAATTACATCAAGAATAACTCTCATCTTTCTCGTTTTCAGATCAAAGATGTGAATGTAAGTGTAAGGTGAAGATTAACTCATCAATGTGTTACCTGAAAACGTTTTTACTAAGTGAGTTCCGCCCATAAAACCTATTCCATTTAATGCAAAATTAAATTCTAAAACAAATAGACTAAGTTTTACAGACTAGACACGACCTATTTAGTAAAATCATTTTAAGCTAATATATCGTTTCGTCAGCTTAATTTCACACTGATAGCGAAAGTTTATGACGTAGATGTTCGTCACCGACAAGAGAATCCACTCACTTTTTCTGACATTTTGTCAACATATCGTTTAAAGTTGATATGAAGAATGAGACAAATAGTGGACTTCACCATTCAACAACTCATTTTTCTTATATCTTCTTTCTTAAAAAATGAAACAATTCTTTATGGTATTTTTAATTATCATGTTGAATATAAAGAAGAATGAATTGAAATGTCTTCAAGCTTGGAATGGAAGTGGAACAGGTGCATGGTATCGTGTAGATACAATTTGTAATTCTTCATTTATCTCAACAGAACTCGTCAATTGTTTACCAACGATTATTTTACCTTCAAATTTAACAGCGTTTAGTGATGGATTTTATATCAGTTTAGGAGTTTTCAATCGTTTCAATGGAGTTTCGCTTGATATTGGTTTAACATTCGATTTGGGGAAAAATCGTTGGTTTTCTTACGGAAATGATCGACTGGGATGGAAGTCCGGAAGTATTTCAATTGATTCCAATGAAAATCGTTGTATTAATGTTTCTTTAAGTATTTTTAACGATTATATTCATTATATTATTCGAAACTCGAATGGTTCAATTGTTTTAGGTGAAGATAAATTTTATTCATTTCAAATTGATCCTCTATTGAATTTAACAAAAAATAATTCTGATTCATTTGGATTTTATCGTTTTGATAGTATTGCTCAAAGTAAAGAAACATTGAAAAGTGGTTCTCAACTTATTCATGCGCAAATGTTCAATTGGACGCTAAAGTTTTCTTCAGGAGAAATTCTTCCAGCTAATGAATATAATATTGCTAAGAATATTAGTGGTTATTCACCAGGTATATGTTGTTCTAATCAAGAAATAAAAACGATTGAAATTCATCAACAAATCAAATGGAATCAATCGGATATATCGATTCGATATATTTAATAATCCAAATACTTCGAATTTCTAAATTTTATGAAATTATTTTATTTTCAATATTTTAATTCAATGACAGAATTACAATATTTAGATTTTCGAATAAAATGTTGTCAATATAATTCACTTGTATTCAGAGAAGCATTTCCATTTGATCCACTTGCAACTAATATCGTTCCATCAAGTAAAAGTGATGCGGTATGAGAATGTCGTATCGTACTCATATTCGATAGTATTGTCCAATTATTTGTTGATGGATCGTATAATTCAGCACTGTTGAGATAAACATTATTTTTACTTTGTCCACCTGTTACTAAAATTGTTCCATTCAATAAAACAGTCGCTGTATGAAAGTATCGCGCAGTTGTCATACTCGATGTTGTTATCCAACTATTTGTTGAAGGATTATATAATTCAGCACTGTTCAAAGAACTACTGCTACCGTAACCGCCTGTAACTAACACTTTTCCATTCTGTAGGAGAGATGCGGTATGAGAATATCGTGCAACAGTCATGTTCGCCACTGTTGTCCAATTTCCCGTAGATGAATTATATAATTCAGCACTATACAGAGGTGCATTATTACTATATCCACCTGCAACTAAGACTGTTCCGTTCAGTAAAACTGATGCAGAATGTCTGAATCTTGCAGCATTCATATTTCCTGTAGTTGACCAAGTGTTTATTGATGGATCATACAATTCAGCACTGTTCACATAACCACTATTAGCAGAACCACCTGCAACTAACACTTTTCCGTTTTGTAAGAGAGATGCTGTGTGATAATATCGTGTGATGCTCATATTTCTGGTTGTTGTCCAATTACCTGTAGATAGATTGAATAATTCTACGCTATTCAGAGAAGTAACACTATTTTGTCCACCTGTTACCATTACTATCCCAGATAATAAGAGAGACGAAGTGTGATAAGATCGAGTAGTTCTCATGTTCCCTGTTATTGACCATGTATTAGTAGATGGATCATACAGTTCAGCACTGTTAAGAAAAGCGCTATCACTCTGTCCACCTACAACTAATACTGATCCGTTCGATAAAACTGATGCAGTATGTTTGTTTCGGGCAATATTCAAATTTTTCATCGTTGTCCATCCTAAAGAACCAAAAAGTAAAAATCAGGTAAATTTACTCAATTAAAACTGTCAAATGTCGAAAGATAAATCGAAGTATTTCAATTGCTAGAAGATATTTTTCATTTATAAGAGAGTTCGTTATGCATCGATAACTATATAACATCAACATACTATTTATCTATTTTCTGAGGATTTTTCAAAAAAAAACGAACGACAAGTAATGAAAGAATTATTTCAATTTTGCCTTACCTTTCGGTGACGCAGTTGTTGTGGATGTTGATTCTATAATTTCAGAGAATATCATAGAGAAAAACGAAGATTTCTTTGCTGTTATTTTGCTTTCTCGAAGTCTCGTCAAAATTCACTAAACTTACCATGTGTTATTATTGTTATAACGATCGATGTTCGATTAAGAAATACCATTGTAACATTCGAATAGGATTCAATTGTCAATGAATTATTATTTAAATTGAACAATTGGCACGTTTCATTTGAATGAAAATAATTGATAAGAGATACTGAATTGTTATTTAAATTGATCATTTGACAAATACATTCATCAAGTGTTCTATTGAAAAAGATCCGCGTTTCAGTACCAATATATGTGTAATCATATACTGTCCCAATGGCGATCGTATGAATTGTAGGTATGTAGAACAGAATCAGACTAAGAAAAATCACGTCTGTCATTTTACGAGTGTTTCTGGAGGAAATTTCAACTGATTTATATAGGAGATTTTTTTCCTATGCAACAGTCTCATCTAATTATTTTCAAGTTAGGAGAGAGAAAGTCAGACAAAAGAAAACAAGGACATCAGCATCTTTTGATGAGTTATTGTCAGACAAAAATGCTATGAACTTATATTGTTACACATGAAATGCAATTGTCTTTGTCTACCGTCATTGTGATTAACGAATATTTGTTTATAGAATTTTTACCAAACGCGTTACAGAACCTCGATATTCATAATTTTCATGCGATTGAGTGCATATAATTAATACAATGCAAGCCTTTCCTTGATGAGAGTGCAAATGTTGGAAGAAAAGAAAAGAAAAGAAAACGTTGACATCAATAAGAAATATAATTTATCAAAAAGAAGCAATTGATATCTTGTTCGATTTGAGAATTAAGTTTTTTCTAAAAGACTTTTATTAGCACCAACAGAGAAATATTTGTTTAGTTTTTTTTCTCCATTGTAATAATCAAAGTCCACGTTATGAAACCAAAGATAAAGAAGAAAATAATGCATTATCAGAACAATTGATAAGAAACAAATGAGTAACTTTACTTATTTTACCTCGTCATTTTGAAAATAGAAGATCAGAAATGAAAACACATTCATCTTCAATAAATAGTTTGAATAAAAACGGAATTCCAGTAAATTAATAAGAAATCTTCTGTTAAACTGAACTTTTCTCTTTTTTTTTTCAAAGATAAGTGTTATATCATCAGGATCACCTATGAATGTCAATGATGAAACATCTGTTAATGATGTTCAATTCAATCAAAATTCCTCTCAGGTAAGAATCTTTTATTTTGTTTTCCTTATGACAAGTGAGTTTTCGTTTAGAGAAGCTTTCTTAAGAAATTAATTCCAAATTTTTTGCGAAAAAATTCGTCATCTGACGATGCTGACAATCCATATGCAAATGAATATGCTGATACTCAAGTTTTAGTTCAAGGAGAAAAAGTTGATTTACATCGAAATTTACAAGAACGACATATGATCATGATTGCATTAGGTGGAACCATTGGAACGGGATTATTTTTAGCGTCTGGACAAGCTTTAGCATCGGCTGGACCTGGTGGCTCTTTAGTATCTTATTTAATCATTTCTGTTATGGTTTATTTCGTTATGACAAGTTTAGGTAAAATTATTTGATATCTTAGATGAAAAAGACTTTTATGGTTTTTTTTAAAGCTGAATTAGCAACACAATATCCGATAAGTGGTTCCTTCAATACATTTGGAAGTCGATTTGTTGATGAAGCTTTTGGATTTGCATTAGCATACAATTATTATTTTTCTTGGGTAACAACGATCGCAGGTGAATTAGTTGCTGCTGGTCTCATTGTTCAATATTGGTTGCCACACTTTCCCTCAATTGTTTGGTCAATCCTGGGAATGTTAGTTATGTTTTTATTAAATGCATTTACAGTGAAAGGTTATGGTGAAGCTGAATATTGGTTTGCAATGATTAAGGTCATAACTGTACTCGTATTTCTACTTGTTGGTGTTCTTGTTGATTCGGGTGCTATTGGAAAACCAAGAGAAACAATTGGTTTTAAGAATTGGAAAATTGAAGGTGCACCTTTTGTTGGAGGAGTTGCTGGTGTTATTACAACATCGATTATATCTGGTTTTGCTTTTCAAGTACGAAGAATTTCGTTTTTTTCTCGAATATAATCTCTCAGCGAATATATAGGGAACAGAAGCAGTTGGAATTGCAGCTGGTGAAAGTTCCAATCCAAAAAAAGATGTTCCACGTGCAATGAATGGAACAATTTGGCGTATTATTTTATTTTTTGTTGGTGCTATTTTTATTATGGGTTTAATTATTCCATATAATGATAAAAAACTAAGTCAAATTAATGGTGTTGATAGTATCGCTGTTTCCCCATTTACATTAGTATTTAGTCTATCGGGTATTCCAGGAGCTGATCATATTATGAATGTTGTTATTTTAACAACAATCTTATCAGCTGGTAATTCAGGTCTTTATTTATGTACAAGAATATTTTGGACTTTAGCAAATGAAGGCAAAGCACCGAAAATCTTTCGTCGTTTAACAAAAGGTGGAATACCAATTTATTGTTTAATTTTAACAACTGTTTTAGCAACTTCTTTGTTTGGTTTATCATTTGTTGGAAATCAAGTTATTTATATTTGGTTAGTTAATATGACGAGTGTTATGGGTTTCATTGCTTGGTTTGGAATCGCTATTGCACATTGGAGATTTCGTCGAGCGTTTCTCGCACAAGGTTATTCATTGAATGATTTGGTTTATAAAGCGTTATTCTTTCCTGTTGGACCATTTTTAGCATCGCTACTTATTTTACTTTGTGTTTTTGGACAAGGTTATTCAGCATTTACACAAAAAACCTTCAATTGTACTCAGTTACATGAAGAAGAAACCTATCTTTTTGAATTCAATAATCAATATTTAATCGATAGCGGAAATTCAACGACGTGTACAAAAACAGTCTTTAATGTTCAAACATTTTTATCTGGTTATGTGATCTTACCAATCCTTGTTATTATGTTTTTCGTTTATAAATATGTTAAGAAAACGAAATTTATTCCACTTAAAGATATTGATTTACTTACTGATAGTGTTATGGAACGTGATCGTTTGAAACGAGAAAGAATACAACAATTACAACAAACAGACGCTTAATTTTATCTTCTACTTCAATTTCTCTTTTTTCTTCGATAGATTTTCAATAAAAATCTAAACTAATTATTTAAGTTTTGTGTGTCAATATTCTTTCTTTCATCAAGTATCATTTAAATGACACAGTTGACACAAACATCTTGTGATTTGTCTTCTTCTTCATTTTGTGTTAATCTATGAAATCCTTTGTATCGATAGTTCCAATTACTAAACATCAAATTATTTCAATTATTAATATTATTCAAATCAAACATAGTTTACCTATGAACAGCCACATGATACACAATCCAAGAAGCCAAAATCGATAAAAATATAATCAAACATATGATGAGAAAAAAATATAGTTTTGTTATGTTAATTGTAATCGCCTGAAGATGTTTCAAATCAGTTAATAAGGATCGAATTGTAGACCAGCTTTCAACATCTGTATATGTATCTCCTTAGAAATAATAAATAAAACAAATTCAATATTTGAATAAACTAAACGTAAATTTATTTATGAATTACTAGTAGATGATTCTATTGTAGATTTCATATGTATGTCATTATTCTTTTGTATTTGCTCAATAGTATATGGTTGGTCTGGAATAATGACACTATCAGATGGAATTAGTCTATATATATCAAAAGTAGATATTGTATGAATATATAAAAATCAATTTTTACCTCGTTATATTACCAGGATATTCTCCCCAACAAAATTCAATCAAAGGATTAAATCTTTCCCATTTATTATTATTTAGTACAGCTGGCTCATATGAATACATTGCATATATATTACACATTTCATCATCATGTCTTTGTCTAGTTCACGGAAATAAAATTTATTCTATTGTATATAAAACTATTCGATCTTACCCGATGTTAATAATTCTATCATCATTGTTATCATAAACACATTGACCAATAATAAAATCACCCTTTTCAATCTGTATAAGTGATGAAAGTGGATAAAATGATTGAGGCCATTGTGGATTACTTTTACCAATCTGTAAAATAGTTTTATTTCGTACTCGATATATTGAAGATACCCTTCCTATGACAATAAATAGTTTCAATGATCTTCCATAAATATATACAAAAAATTCGAACCCCATTGATGTGTATGATAGTGGAGAGCAAATATGGATATTGCAGGTCCAAGATAACGACATGAAAAGGGTGTTCGAATATCTAGAAGATTCAATTTGAGTGGGATAAAAGATACGTTAAAACCTTGTTCGAGTACCTTGTGTTCTCGGTGGTAAAGTGATATTTGATGTACCAGCTAAAAACATTCCTGCATGATACTTTCGCCTATAAGATAAAAATAAAATCTTATTTAAAAAAGGATGGTACAGGTATTTGAAATTATTTATTACATCTTTCGAGTAAAAAGAATTTGGATACCAGAATTATCATTGGTAATAATTGGCAAATAATGAATATTCATTACAAGATATTTGTATGATGTATTATGACCAACAACAAAACCAGTATCTTAATAGAATAACATTGTGATTTTTCTTTCTTATTTAATGAAAAACACCTTTAGGTAATGCTAATGAAGATCCATTTCTTGACCAATCATAAATGATCATTTGTTTATTTCTACATGCTGTTCCATCAAACCTATAAAAATAATTTTACTGTTTAATTTTTAAAGTCAAATTATTAAATAATACCAAATGGATTCATTAGATGTGGGAGTAACACAAGCCAACGTGAGTATATGATGAGCTGTATTCATATTAGCCAATGGTTTAAAATCAACTTCAGTTTTTAAAAGTAAATCATTTTCGCGATGAGTAAAATTTCAAACTTACTAATCATCAATTTTTCATCAGGTAATTTATATTGGATATATACTTGTTGATCTCCCTAAAAATGTCAAGAATTATTTTTATGATCGTCGTTTTATAATCATATTTACTTCTTTTGTTGTCACATTCTTCATAGTAAAATTAAAAGTGAAATTATCTTCATTATCATAAATATCTTGCGAATGAATGTATTTGATGTTAATAAGAAGAAAAATTAAAATATTTTGAATAAGTAATATTTCTATATTCATTATTTTATGTAACACATTTCTTAACATCTAAAAATGTTAGAAACTAATACTTGTTAGTTTATTCTACTAAATAAGATGAGAAAAAAAACCCACAGATCACTTGTAAAAGCAGAAGAAACGCAGTTTTAAATGCATTAAATATTTTAAAGTCTGTTTAAACATTTGCTATCATTGTCAAGCTAGCAAATCGATTCTTCGTGCTAACTTCACGCTGGTGTTCGTGCTTGACAACAACAATAGAAGTTTGTATTAGAAGTGCAAATACCCTTATTACTGAGATCTATTGTGGAAGGTGGAGTTGGAAATCCTCGACGACGGCGACTCGCCATCGCCAAACTGGTCCCGGGAAAAGTCGTAACACAAGAGCCGTCGTTGCTAACAGGAACAGAGTTGATGACAGTGTCAAAACCACCTTTAGTACAATAGGTGACACAATTAGTTGAACTAGTGGCGCCGCCAGTTATAGTATAACCAACAGAACAAGTAACACCTGTTGGTTTAGATGTTGTTGTGGTTGTAGTAGTAGTAGTAGTTGTTGTTGTTGTCGTTGTGCTGGTAGTGGTAGTAGTTGTCGTTGTGCTGGTAGCGGTAGTAGTAGTAGTTGTTGTCGTTAGTGGTGTGATGACTGCATAAAAATATAATTAGTCTCATTTAATCTTAAGTCGACTAATTTGGGTATTAAACCTTGTCGAAATCCTAAGAGAGTGTAGGTGTATGCGATATTTATGACTTCTCACTTATGAATGTTTTTTTTATTTTGATAACTACATTTATGACTAGCTCATATCAGTTATTCTCAACAATTTTCAAAGAAAATCAATAATATTTTGGAGACGGGATGTGATTCATATTTTTCATGAAATGCATTTTTCAATCCGTGATATCTGTCGTATCATTCAGCGAACTAGTCTGCAACATACACATACAAACCTCTTCTAACTACGTATATCTTAGATAGGACACTCACCTTTTGTTGTAGATATTGTTTGCATCGTTGTAGTTGTTGACACTAAAATAACTGTAAAAAAAACGAAGAAGGAATATTGCACACGGTTATAAACTTAGTCGTGAAAACAGCTATTCACAAAGATCTATATATAAATGTCATCAGAAAATAATTGAACGCGATCAATAAAAACAGGATGATATCTTTTTTATATGTCCTGTTTCAATCCGAGAGACAGACTATGTGAATAAACATGACGATAAATACCTGGTTGAATCTCATTAAACGAACAGAATGTGAGTCCGATTGTAATTGTTGAACCATTAACCGTTGTCAGCAGTAGTTGTGTTTGTTCACGCAAGGCCGTTTCAACTCTTGCCAATGTTTCACGGAATGTCTTTTGACAATTATTCGAGAGACATGTAGATTTAGGTTTCAATATAAATCTAATAAAGAGATAATCCCCTGATGTGCCCGGATCGATGGTACATTGTTGAGCTTTTGATCTAGAAATAAAAAAATATATTCGATTTTAGAACAGTTACAAGTATGTACTCGATGTCTCGTCGTTTTTTGTACGTAGTTGTTGATACTGATGAAATGAATACAAATTTGGCTGTAGTAACAATAACATTTGGATATTGTGCTGTTAACTGTGAAATTAAAAAAAAAACCAAATGTAAAATTCTATTAATATGAAACAGTATACTAGAGCAGCTAAACTGTCAGCATTGTCAGCTACTGCTGTATCAGTACTTTTAAAATTAGTTCCATAAGAGACATTTATCATATTGCTGACTAAAAATAAAGAAATTAAGTTTAATACAAATTAATATGGAAAAAAGTGAGTTCGTACGCGGAGCATTGTTAGTAACAGTGAAATCACTTCTTGATATGTATGTTGGAATTAAACTGAGCACAACAACAATTGCAGCTAAGCAAGGAATACACATTAAGCAACATAAAAAAACCAGTGGCGTTCGTTTCCTGTAAAAAAATGAAGATATTTTCTTATAGAAGACATTGCATATTCTATTATTGATCAAGACATGAATCTGTGACTATAGTATGTTTCTTATTGGCAACTACGTAACAATAAACTGTACTAGTCACTCGAAAAATGTGAATGTAAAATAATACTCATACCGTAACTTAATTGCTGTTCCATTATTCGTGTCCATTTGAAGAGTTGTCAGATGACACTTACAGATAGTTAAAAATTCAATTATTTATCAAAACGATAAAGAAAATCTAAAAGAGATAAATTTCATTTAAGCTGGATAACAAAGAAGTGGCGCCCATACGTTGACCCTTTTCTGAAAGAGGTAGAAAAATAGTAGATAAAAATCTTCACTTTGATCTCAATCCAATCGGCTACGAACTGAAGTCTCTTTTATGCATATTCTTCCATTTTACCCCTTTCTACTTTATTCATGTCAAATTACTTCCAATTCATTTGCCCAAATACGTGTTTAAGCAAAATAAACACTGTTTCTACACATTTATTCATCGACTTTCTTTTGACTAGTTAAAATAAAAAATTAATTTACTTCCACTTATTTTATCTCTTCTAAGTGACCATATGATGCGTTATAGCGTTTACCAGGAAATTCTATATGTTTTCGGTATCAACTGATTTCCCGGAAATTGAATTTCTTGATCAGACAAACCGAACAGTCCAGATAGTTATAATGCTCATACAGGGTATATAGGGCACAGACACTCACCCGGTACCCTCACTGAGAGAGATCCATACCGACACCCTCGCCCTCCAGATGCCCTGTATGAGCATTATAACTATCTGGATTGTTCGGTTTGTCTGATCAAGAAATTCAATTTCCGGGAAATCAGTTGATATCGAAAACATATAGAATTTCCTGGTAAACGCTATAACGCATCATATGCTTCAGTTCAGCGTCTTGAGCAAGTGAGGGCCGAACTTGTCAATAAGTTATAAATGTTTTTCTGAAAATCGCTATCCTTGGTTTGAAAAAAGTTTCTTTAATTCTGAAAAAAGTAACATCAGATTCGAAGTCTCCGCATCGAAATACCTCTGGAAATGTCTTTTCGGAAAAATCCATTTTCGATGTTTTTTGATCCTGTGGACATACAAGCAAACAAACAATTTATGTTTCTAATACTCTTCTCTACGAGAAAGAGAATATAATACGATTTGTCGACGGTTGTTAAGGCAAATGAATAAGACTCACTTTTTGGGTGCATAAAAAGGTAAATGGCCGGTATATCTACTACGTCTTTAATTACTTGCCCAGTAATACACGAAAATGTGAATAAATATTTTTGATTTATAGAGTCGCAAATATTCTAGTTTTTGTATTTTTTCTTGTTTTTGTGAATGTTCGCTTATGCGGAGCTTTTGATGTCATTTTTTGTAGACGATTGCTTGTATCCGCTCTTATCAATCGTTGTACATAAAATAAAAAGTTGTTTTCACCAATAAGCTTACGCATCCTTCATTATATTTACAAAGAAAATGTAATAGGCGTCAAGCTGAGACACAGTTTCGTTTGAATGGCTTAACAACGCTCAAGCCAATATGATTCGGTCGGTTTCGGCCGGTTAGTTTCATTTTCCGACGATCGTTCTGGATCGATCAAAACGTACACAAAAGTTTCTTCGACAAACAGAAACAATAATAAACAAGAATTCTTTACGATTAATATTAAAATAATTTCATTAATATATGAATATCAATAGAAATTGAAAATTTGAACCAGAGCAAGTAAATTCTTTTTAAGATTTATTTTGAGTATTTTTTTGTATAGTTCACTGTAAACCAGAGCTGAGCACATGACAGGACGGAAAATCTTGTCCTGTGCTCATCTCTGTTGTAAACACGATTGAATCTAGTAAAGTTGATGTTTACAATTCCAATATAATTCTATAGGATTTTATCGACAAAAGACCAGTCATTGTATATGCTTTGAAAGGGTTTTTTACACATAATTTAACTCTTTGAGTCCCGCCAACGCATATATGCATCCAAATGCAATTATCTGACAAAGGTACTCCTGATATAGTTTTTAATTGTTTATAACGCCTCTCAATCGTTTTATTTGATGGTACGACTCTAGAGTAATCCCCATTTCTTCCCTTTCTGCTTATTAATAATACATATTTATATTATATGTGCTTTTCTTCGTTCTGTATGATAGTACACACTATCTCTCATTCTAGCACATTCCAATACAGTCACTAAAATGGTACAAGAAGCTATTTTTCCATGTTTTGCATATGGCACTATATATAGTGCATTTGTTATTCAAAAAATGCAGAACAATATTTCCTCTGATCTATGTGATTTTCGACTTGAAGTAATCAGACAAATTTTGACGAAGTATGGACCACAAAGATCGACTACGATTGGAAGACCATCAACAGGAGATTCTTCTCTTCGTCTAAGTGATCGACATTTTCTTGCACTTTTTCCATAAACATCACAATCAAACCAACCTCGAAGAAAATGCGTCGCTTGTGCATCACATAATATTCATAGTGATACACGATATATCAGGCCCGATTGCGATGTACCCCTGTGTATCGTTGATTGCTTCAGAGACTATCATAAAAAGATGAAATATTAATGACTGCTCGAGACAAATATGTAATCTTTTGACGAAATATCGTTAAAAATCTTCGATTTTCGCAAAAAAAGCCGAGACTGAAAGGTTTAAGTACAATCATTTTTACCTATCTCATTAGCCCGTGACGAGAGGGGATTCTTTCTTATTTTCTCTCCTTTCATTACTTGTTCACGTTTTCATTTGCAAAAAACGTTTAGTTGACAAGGAAAACATCAAATGCAAACAAAATAAAAATAATAAGTATCTCGTTATACGCTCCTTAGGAAAATTTTTCATTATGACCCATATTTGCGATACCGTCAAATTCAGAATACGATTGAAAAGATTTTATAAATTGACTATGATTTGTAAATTTAATTGAGTAACAAAATGAAACAGAACAGAAAATGTTCAATGAAATAAAATCAACAAAAAGAATTCTTTTCAATATTGATTTTTTGAAATGGATGCCAATTGCTTCTTTCATATCATTCATTTAATCAATATCAAATGAATACTCTTATTCAAATTTTGTTTCTTTTCAACCTTTCAAATCGATTAAATGGAAAATCTTTACAAAGATTTCCTCGAGGTTTGTTTTTTTCTTTTCAAAAAATTCTTTTTTTCACTATTTTTGTTCGTTGAAAAGGAGCCTATGCATATTCATCAAATATCTATGTTCGTTGTTTTTCATCTGATTCATTGGTAAAACTTTTCAATGGCACAACCAAATCCATATCAAATCTTAACATAGGTGATCAGTTAATGACAATCGATGACAATTCATTAAAAATTCTCTCCACTGAGATGCTTTTTATGTTACATGAATCAAAAAATGAAACAAGTAATTCGTATAGTGAAAGAATTCGAAATGAACTTTTTTGTTGTCTTCAAGGTTTTTTTTATAAATTAAAAACAAAATCAAATCATGAGATCAGTTTAACAGGAAATCATTTAATTCCAATAAAAGAATCTTTAAGTGGAAATTTTCTTTATATTTTGACAAAAACTATTAAAATTGGTGATTATTTAATTATTTATGAAAATGGTAAAATTGAATATTCTCAAGTGATAAAGAAAACAAAAGAAATAAAGAAAGGTTTTTATGCTCCATTGACAATGACTGGAACATTATTTATCAATGAAATTTACTCAAGTTCATTTGCAAATATTCCAAATCATTATTTAGCTCAATTTTATTTATTTCCAATTCGATNCAATTTGTATCTTTCTACTAACACATACACCCATTGAGAGATTTGGTCAATAACAATACGAAATGAATTACGAAGAAATTTTTTCAACATTTAAATACGTCTATTCATTCTTCTCTTCCTTTGTTTTCTTTTCCTTTATTTTCTCTTCCTTTGTTTTCTTTTCCTTTATTTTCTCTTCTTCGTGATTCCTGATTTGTAAAGAAAAGATTATGTGAGCAATAAAGTTAGATGACGATTCTTTTCAATTCTTCCTCTTTCTTTTTTTAGCATAAAAGTATTTCTAGTCAAACCTTTTAAAAATCATGTGTCAGATAGCTAAATACATAAAAATCTTGAGGATAAAGTGTGCGGGTGTGCATGAAAAGCGTCTAAAAAGTATACTTGTATTTTCTCCAATTTTTCATTTATATTTTATACGTATGACCGATATTAAAATATTGTACAGTAATCAATAGTAGTGACAGATGTGGTTTATTCGCATATATAGGATTTGACAAAATTTTCTGTTATATGAAATGATAGAGGAAAGGAAGTCATATTTTTGCATAATATCCCACGTCGCTACTTTTTTATGCCTATCGGCGGTACAAGGCGGTTTTCAATATGTCTAAGAAAAATCACCGGTATACGGCGGTTAACCAGTGTTTATTGGACGGTATGTAGGATATCTTGGACAGGGATTTGACCTTTTCTTGAACGGCTTCGCACATGAGTGTATTCCAACTCTGATCGCATTCGTTCCAAGTAGAGCTCGATGAGCTCTATCGATTCCAATCATTAAAAAATTTCACACACCCACACCCTCACCCTCAAATCCTTGGTTATCGTGTTGAATGATATAATTCAGCATTTGATAATGTTTCTAAACAAGATTTATTCTCATTTTCATGTTTCATTATTCGAACAGATTATTATCTTTGTTATATAAATGACAAGTGATCGAGTGCAGACTATTCAAAGAAAAATTAAAACTAAACGTCGTTTCGTACATTAAGTGAAAATGTTAAGTAATATCATGTCAAAGTCATTTTAAAAGAATTCTCCTGAGTACATTTTAACAACGTGTCTTTTGACACAATTGAGTTGACGTAAGGAAACAACTTAAACATGATTATTTTTAGAGAATAAGAAAAATTCTACTCAATGTATGACGTACAACAATGAAAGAAGTCGGTGGTTACTATAGTAACTGGTTGTCATTCTTCATTCTTCGTTTATTTATTAGAAAAATGTCAACGTCAGAGAAATTCTGTGTGTTTTATTATAAAAGCTTTCTCAAAATTTTTATTCTGAAAAAGAAAAAATATGGGTTGTGCAGTTGGATTATTAACAACTTATTCAGTTGAAGAAGTTGAATCCGAAGTAGCTAAATTAACTCCTCATTTACCAATGGCTGAATTGATGAATGGTGGAATAATAAAACTAGGAGGAGCAAATGGATTTTTTAATCCAAATTCTCTTCTTGATCCAAGTTGGTTAAAAGGTAAAATGACAGTCGAAGAATATCAACAAGCAATTAATTACATTAATAAATGTGCTGCTCATAGTCAGATTGGTTTAACTAAAGCGTATAATACATCCGAAGGTCCAATGCGTTTAAATTTACGAACTCAAGCTGGCATGAGAGCTGTAGAAGAAATTAATCAAAGACATCGTGGAGTGAGATTTACTTATCAACAAACTGTTCAGAATCTTCAAATGAATGTTTCATGGGAATTGGATCCTACACAAAAAGTTATGTTAGCAGGAAGAAGTCCTGTTGGACATGCAACACTAACTATTCTTTATATTACTATTAATTAACTTTATTATTGTTAAGAAATAAATCTTAGTCATTAAAACGATGTTCTAGTAAGTCATTTTAGTCAATAGTAAACAAAATTGAAAGAATATCATCCTATAGTTTCATAATTTCAAGTAAAAGAAAGAAGAATTCAAATGAAATAATATACATTTCTGATATCAATTGGAAATTTGATCAATGGATGAAAAATAGAAGAAATTATAACTCAAGTTCTATCAATAATGACAAAGATTAGCTTTTGTCTTAATAATATTAACAGTTTTACATGACGAAAAGTTTATGCGAGTGAAGTTAACAAAAACAAAATCGAATTTTGGAAAATATAATTTGTTTCACCTGATGTTCCAGGTAGAGCTCGACGAGCTGCATCAGGTCGTACGTTCTTTTGCATTTTTAACATAACAATTGCAATGGAACATTGAAAAACATGATTTCAGGAAGTATTTTATTTGTTAATTCGATCTACAGTTTGTATCATTGATCAAACTACTCTCATTCGATTCCGAATAAAAAAATTTGTCGAACGATGTGTTGTTCAGTATCCATAGAGAAACAAATTAGTCAATCGAAGAGTTTTTGAAGTCATCGATCAACATGACATAGTGTCATCTATCCAACTCTCAATTCATACATACAGATAAAGTCAATCTACACTTCCAAATGTTATCAAAAAACCTTAAATGACTTGAAGAAAAATCAATCGTTATTTTTTATTAATAGTGATCGTAAAAGTTCAATAAACTTAAGTACTGTAGAAATCGTTAATTCGATTCGAGTTTTAAAACTTTCGTTCGAATTCTAAATCTTTCGGTTTAGAATTCGAGTACTCGAGTTTTAAAACTTTCGTTCGAATTCTAAATCTTTCGGTTTAGAATTCGAGTACTCGAGTTTTAAACTTTTAAACTTCTAAATCTAGAATTCCAGGTTTCGAGTTGTCCGCTCATCGCCAACTAACGGAAACGGATGCCATTCACATTAGCCCGACTATGCCGTTGGAGGCTGCACTCTGCCAACCACCCTCGCCCACACACCCACACCCTCACCCTCAATAAGCTACGAAATACCTTTAGGATGTCAAAAGGAAATGAAATTTCATTAACTTACCTCGATTTTATGTAAATAATTCTACAGGTGTCAAAGTGTGTGCATCTCATTCAGCTGCTAAACTAATTATCAACAATAGCTCCAACACATTGACCATCATTTAAACGAAGTGCATGAATCGTTATCGTATCATTGATTTGTCTTTTCGAATGTGCTTGGCATCGAAATTGTTTCTCATGGGTACACTTTTTTGTTAAAAATAATTCCAATGATCATTTCGAATATTGTTCAAGAAATTTGTCATCTTTGACCAATTCTTCAACTGGTGAACGATACTTGATAAAGTTGCATGGAAAAAATACTAAGATTAAAAAGATCAGTTGGTTATTATTCACATAGAAAAGAAACTTGATTATCAAAAGATAAATATTTTGAATATCCACATTGTTTTAAAAAATGATTACTAATTAGAATAAGATGGATCATATCACTCTGAACAGCTTTGTAGTCAGATCTATAATGTAACATCTCGTATTCATATTTCAGAGGTCTAGTTTGGCTTCACACTGTATATTTGAACATATTCAATTAATGAAATATCANATCGAAACTACTCCATCAACATCCATCGCAACGTTGGTTCATAATCTTTGTTTTAATCTTTGAGATCTGATTCATTCTTCTTTTTTAGTCATCACTTTCACGGACCAGCAGCACAAATTATTCCTCAATTATTATCAACAAATCAGAAATAAAAAATTTATTTGTTTTTGAAAGAGAATGGTGAAATATTTTAATAAAATGATGATTTAGAAAAACGAATTATTTATTTGTTGGAAATTTTCAGCTGATTGTCGATAATTGTTCCATTAAAAGAAAAGCTCATTGATCGTAGTTATTTTTCAAAGATAAGATTGTTCCAAATGAAGAAAATAAATGCGGTATGTCATTTTCATTCAAATTATTTGAAGAAGTTTAACAAGAGTTGAATTATTGTTGATTCTATATATGAGAAAAATACATCTCCATATAGTGTAAGTAGAATATGTGGCTCTTAAATAGGAACATTGTTTTTACGAAATTCCTTTTTTACTCTTCTGAACTATAAGAATGTTGTCTCAACGATAATGATAGAAACCAAAAAAGAAAAAAAGTTACAATTTATTGTATTTTGTTTTTAAAATATCACTCGAGCCCACCAATCCCATACTCGGATGCCATTCGATCCTTGGTGGATTCTATCGGAATCCTACGATCGGACAAAATTGTTTGATGAAACAACATTCGATGTTATTTCTTGGGCGTTAATTTTTTACTATAATAAGTATACCTGGCATTGGAACTGCATAATTCATCCTACGTTTAAGTGCGCCACCTGTCGGAAGAAATCTTTCGCTTATGTTTTAATAAACATATAATATTCTCTTTGTCAATTAATTAAATAAAAGACATTTAACATAAAAGTAAATTAATGTTTGTTCGTCGATTATATTTCTTCATTTTCTTTTTATTGGACAACCAGCTAAAATTCATCCTAACTTACATATACAACGGCAATGATTGATAATAAATTGAGCTCTGATATGAATTGTTTATTCTATCAGAATAATATTGGAACCTTGTATCAGAAAAATTCAGCATAGAAATTATTATTATAGGTAGCATTTTACCAAAATGATGATGACAGACAGAATGATATAAAATATGTCGGAAACTGAAGAAAACGTTTTACTTAACAACAGCAATCATGATGCAGCATCGACATGTTCAAAAGAGAAAAATTACATATAAAGAATAATTTCACTTTTATATTTTAGATTAATTTCATAGTTGAATCATATTCCCAGGACAATCGTTCCTGGAAGCAGTATTCCGCTTATTTCCCGTGAAAACTTGTAGGATATTTATAGTATTCGCGCTGGAAACCACGAGAAAATACTCGGAATCCCACTGAAGGAACCAGTAACCGTATCCGACTAATGGTTATGGCGGATTCTTGTTGGTTCCCGATAAAACTTTTTAAATGCGATGAAAGAATTCGGTAGCCAGAATACTGCTTCCATGAAATCCCCGGAAGGCCCTGGAACTAGTCAGTTCCGGACCGGATTCTTCGACCTGGGTTGTAACATGGAAATAGAAGAGGACCCATATTCATTTATCAAATATGATAAATAAACACAATGGTGGCTATGGAAGTCCAACTATACCATCTTGAGGGTGGGGGTGAGTTTACTGTCAACTGATGATAAATTTATTTGTGGAATTAATAATAAATCTTATGAATGTTATATAGATAAAGATAAAGAAAGTCATATAAAACATTCCAATGCATGAAATTTATTATTAAATTGTCGAAGTTCACGAAGATAGAAATAACTTGCATGGGAAATGCTTATCAACGTTTAATACGGATCAATGATAACAAATCATTATGGAGCTTTTTTTTTCAACTAAAAATAAAATTTGAATGTCGAATGACATATTTGCTTATAGATAGTGAATTTGGGAAGTGCACACATCATTTAATCATGATGATAAGAAAAGAACGTTTTTTTGCCGATCCGACACAAAATATGATGATATTTCGCAAACAATTTCTAACACTAATCTCAGCAATCTTGATGTTGATACACGCAAGCATAAACATCAATGATTTAGTTTATTGAAACATGACGATATTAAAATTATTTATCTACCGCAAACTGAGAAAGATTATATGAAATTAGATAAATCTGGTAATGATTCAAGTTATGGCTCACGGATTTAACCGCATCATTAACATTTGGAAGGTAGCGTTACATTTTTCATCCGAATAAAGAATAACAATCAACATTATGCCTTAATCGCCAAACATGTTATTCAAGATTTAGACAAAGATTCAATTCAAATTAAATCTAACATAAACTCATTTAAATATTTGTCAATCACTCCTGCTGACACAAACTGAATTAGATTATGATGCTGTTCTTTTGAAAGTCACCGGGGTGCCTTATTGTAAAATTCTTAATTTGGACTGTACAGCATTATCCAACGAAATTTATACGATTGAATCTTCCACATCATACGATTCCTCACCTAAATCACTAGACCATAAGCCATTATTTATTCCACTCGCTCAACCTCGTACATCTTCACTTTAAACATTAGAAGATAAATCATTGCCTCGACCAGCTTCCTCGTCATCTCGATCACGACAGAAATCAGCATCTTCATCGTCGGAAGCAAGGGAGAGTGTGGCAGCATCGAAATTTCCAATTGAAGGAGATAAATCTGCATCAGAATTAGGATCTTGTGAATCCAGTAATACCGAAGATGTTGAGATAAAATCGCATGATCCAATGAATATTTCCGTTGATTCATTGGAGTTGTTACTGAAAAGACATAAACCAAACAAAGTACCAATATTCAAATTCGGTGCTGGATCCGATCGGAGTTCGACTGGAAAAATTCAGTCGGATATTGCAAACTTTATGGGCGATCTTTTTAGCTATACTCTATGATGACCCTTAGAAAATCCGGAAAATTCATGTTTCGGTTCCGATAAAATCCTATATTGGATTCGAGTGCGGGATTGATAGGCCTGGGTAATTTAATTGAAGTTGAATGGATGGATGGTATAGAATTTGCGTCTGATGGTGATTCTGAGTCATTGTATTTTGTATACGATTTAACGACGAATTCATTTGTTCCTGTTGGTATGCATGTTGGATCAAAAGAAAAGAAATCGTTTGGTATCATAATATCGTTTATTTTTCAAGAATTGTCTGATAATGTATATAAGTTTTTAATTTGTGATTCAGCTGGTTGTAACGCGAATTAGCTTTTTTTTGCAGTAAAATAAGATCAATATATATTATACAGATTCATTCATTTTCTTTCCAAACGTTCTATTAAAACTATATGAATTGATAGAACTTGTATCGAAAGGGAACGACGGTTGATTATTGACCGAATGGAAGCAGAAGAAAAGAAGATTTTATTGTCGGCTTTTTATTGTTTGAAAGAATCAAACAATCATCAATTTATTAACCTCAATGAAATAAAAAACGGACTAAAATAGAATAGAGTCTTTTCCTCTTTTTTTTTTTTTATAAAAGTTTCTTCTGAGAAAATTTCAGTTTATTTTATTCTGAAACTCGAAAAGCAATTAAATGTATGAGGGTATGAATTACCCATTCGACATCTTTACTTTTTTCTCATAAAGGTTAGGACTCAACATGCCGAAATACTTTATTGATTCCTAGACAAACGAAAACGTTTAATTGAAATTAAACTTATATTGTTAGATAAAAAAGATAGAATGGAAGCGATTCTATGTAAAAGAAAAACGTCATTTTAATAGACAACTGAGAGAACCATTGAATCCTTCATTTATCTTTAAATGCTCGATCGATTCTTTTATTAACCGGTGCAGGAATAACAATTGATTCAGGAGTCCCAACATTTCGTGTTGCGCGAGAATTTCGTACAACAGTGTCTTCTTTTCCTTTCAAAATAAAGCTAGACAATTTGTATTTTGTTAAAAAAGGATTTGGCCACGTCAACAGCATCTCCTTTCAATAATAAGAATTAATCTTGCTCTAGCAGAAGCAGAAAAATGATTCCATATTATCACTCAAAATGTAGATGGTAAATGTGAAATTTAGTAAAAATCTCTTTCCGATCCTTCTCTTATAGGACTTCATCGTCGTGCTGGATCAAAAAATTTAGTTGAAATGCACGGAAATCTTTTCATGGTTCGCTGTACTTCTTGTTCTTCCCTTAAGATTGGTACATCATCTGTTGTGTACCCAGCTGCTGGTTACGCATCAATTCTTGCTGAAAGAAATGTTCCTGTTGTTGAAATTAACATCGAAACTACTCCATCAACATCCATCGCAACGTTGGTTCATAATCTTTGTTTTAATCTTTGAGATCTGATTCATTCTTCTTTTTTAGTCATCACTTTCACGGACCAGCAGCACAAATTATTCCTCAATTATTATCAACAAATCAGAAATAAAAAATTTATTTGTTTTTGAAAGAGAATGGTGAAATATTTTAATAAAATGATGATTTAGAAAAACGAATTTGAATTTGCCTTTCTTTGAAAAACGAATTATTTAATTGTTGAATAATCTCCGTCGATTGTTGATAGTTTTCCATTAAGAGAAAAGCAAAACCTTTGGAAAGACCAGTTAATTGATCATAGATAATTTTCAAAGATAGAATTGTTCCAAATGGAGAAAATAAATTTCTTAAATCATTTTCATTGATATTTGAATTGAAATTAGAAATAAAAAGAAAGGAATTTTCATTGAAATCCAATTGATTGTGTGAAACTTTCTCGTGAAATTTAATTTGAAGAGTATGATTCGATGTTATTTGATAATTATTCAAATTTTTTAAAATATTCTCTGCTTGTTCATGTGTTGCCATTAAAATAAAAGCGAAAGATTTGTCTTTGATGAATCGAATTTGAATAATTTGACCAAATCGTTCAAATAAAACTTTTAAACCATTTTCATTGAAATCATTTGGAAAACCATTGACAAACAATTTACAATTTTTCGTTTCTGTACAATTTCGACGAGACTTTTGTATTTGAATTGTTTTATTTCCAATTTTTAATCCATTGAATTTGTCCAAAGCCAACTTCGCATCTTCTTCTCCGTTTAAATATTCGACAAAAGCATAACCACCTAAAAGATTTACAAAATTAGACAATTTCAACTGAAATTTCTTCAAATCAAACCATTTTCAACTAATCGACAAGATTTCAAAGGTCCAATCGATGAGAAAAGATTTTCTAATTGATTTAATTTAATATTTTCAGGAAGATAATTAATGATTAATTTCGACGACGTTTGTTTCTTACTCATGAGGAAGTGTTTTACAAAATGATTGTGAAATATTTCAACATTCGATAGATGTCGTTCGACACTCTATATATTTTTAAAAAAGCACATTTTATTGGTTATTATTCCGAAGATACTTTTGCAAGAAAGATGAAAGAAAACGATTATCTACAATTAATTCAACATTCATTAGTGGTTTGTGTTTCTTAGACAACCTTTGATAAAAATTATCAATTTTCTTTGTTGAAAGGCAGGATCTATTGCTGGTTGTGCAGTTGATTTAACATTATATCCGATTGATACAATCAAAACTCGTCTTCAACAAAAGAAAAGTTTAAATCGACGATTTTTATTTTCTTCTTTATATTCGGGTGTTGGTTCGGTATTAATTGGAAGTGGTCCGTCATCAGCTTTATTCTTTACTTCGTATAATTTTGTAAAACAAACAATTCAATTTGAATCTCAATGGAAAACTCATATGATCGCCGCGATTTGTGGAGAAATTTCTGCGTGTTTAATTCGTGTTCCTGTTGAAATTATCAAACAAAGAGCACAAATTAATCGAACTCTACATTTGTCAACAATTGCACGAACAACAATTCATAATGAAGTAAAACAAGTTGTTCAGAAAGTTTTACGAATCGTTTGAAATACTTTTTCTTCGCAGGGATTTTTTGGTCTTTATCGAGGATATTTAGCAACTGTTACAAGAGAAATTCCATTCTCAGTGATTCAATTTCCTTTATGGGAATATTTCAAAGTTTGTTTGTTTTTTTTTCTTCAAATTTTTGTCTGATTGATTTTGTATTATAAAGAAATGTTGGAGTGAAATTCAAGGTTATTCAGTTCATCCATGGCAAGGTGCTTTATGTGGATCATTAGCAGGAGGAATTGCTGCTTGTTTAACGACACCATTTGGTTTGTTAATCGAATTTGATTCTTTCCAAATTCGAAAAAGATTTTCTTTTCTTTTTTTAGATGTGGCAAAGACACGAATTATGTTGGCACATGTAAATTTCTTTTTTTTCCTTTCGGAAAGAAAACAAAATGATTTGCTTTTGTCTTTTAGCATTCAGATACTGATGCAGCTTCTCATTCTTTGAAAATTATGAAGAACATTGTGAAGAATGAAGGATTTCCTGCGTAAATTCATTTCTTTTCTTGTTTTCTCATTGAATTGCGAATCGTTTTAATTTAGTTTATACAGTGGTGTGTTACCTCGTACTATATGGATTTCAATTGGTGGTTTAATTTATTTCGGTTCATTTGAGTTTGTGACATCTTGGTTTTTCTCTCCAAACAATTAGCAAATTCTTTGTTTTTTTTTGTTACAAATTTCTATTTTTAATTCAGATTTTCAAATAGAAATTCTTAAGAAAATAACGAAAAGCACGACTTCTATTGATGTTATCACATTTTGCCTTTCGTTGAACAAAGTTTTTAGATGATTATATCAGACATGAAGTTGTTTGTCTTTGGTGAATTTAATAATGATTATATTTCAATACAATTGAATTTTTTCAAGTTGTATTACATTGAAGAAATCATTTTTCGAAAGAAATATTTCTAGAGTCATTGTTTCATCGGTATGAGTTTAGTTTGCCTTCTAAAGAAATAGACTAGAAATAGTTGAAATCATCCTGTGTAAGCAGTAACGTTTTTACATATGCAATTTTGGATGTGTTTCGCTTTATACAATTAGATTTGTTCACTGAGAGAAAATGGCAAAACACGTTTTCATAGTACAACTACAGTTATCGAATTGTGGCAAGAATAGATATTTTACAAAATCTTGTTTATTTCGAGAGACCGTGACAAATAATGTCAATAAGAGTATAAACATGAATGCGAATACTTCCAAACAGTTATCTGTCCTTATCATAATTTGCGAATTTATAGATGTGTTTAGAAACTTTGATATATCTACTCAATTTGTCTTTCTTTATTTATTTTATTCAGAGAAAGATTTCTTCAAACACAATCTGTTTGATATACTGATTATATGATTTTAATCTTAAAAGAAAATTCGTTCTTTGACGATTTTAATAATATTTGAAAAATAATGATGATCTTTTTCTTTTTCATCCTTCTTTTGTTCATGTTTCTTGTTATCGTCGTCTTTTGTCTTATTCATCATTAATGAACTTAATCTTTCATCTTCATCATTGGAAAGATGCTGTGAAACGAGTTGCTCTTCAATTTGATTTGCTTTATAATATAAACTTAAAATAAATGCCTTCAAAAATGCTTCTTGATCCGTTGCTTCTTCCAATGCTTGCAACAGAATTGGATGCACCTTTTCTTTATCGTAAGATAGATACTCATTTAATAGTTCATTAAATCGTGCATCAACACGTTCTCGAGTTTCTTTGACCAAATTCGCTGCTGGATCGTTTTCAACATCAGCAGATGGATCTCTTAATACTAATATGAGATCTTCACATCTATTTCGCAGTTCCTGAACAGTTGTTGTTTGCGATGGACGTTGACGATTCATTATCTGAAATATAGTACTTTTTTCATACAAAGTATTACATTAATTCGAAGTAAAACTAGATCATTTTGATTGACTACTATTTTAACTCAGTATAGAACAATAATCGCGCATCGCCTATAAAATTTTGATCGAAGTGAACAGTGGAGCAACTAAAATACATTGTTTTCGACGCCAAAAACATCGAGGTATAATTCTGAAATCATATACAATGAAGTACTACGTTGGGATTAGAATCAAGCGGCAATATGTTTATGAAACGCATGAAAATTGACTACTATTTTTCTTGACTTGAGATATCTCAAATTTATTCCCAATTTTGAGTAATTTACATCAGTTAACAAAAGACTCAATTAGAACAGAAAGCTTTTAAGAGTGCTGAAATAGATAACTGATTTTCAAAGTGAAAACTCTTTTCTATTGTCAACTAAATCTTTTACCTGTCGATATCAATAGTATTTTTCGTGTGTATTTATGTTGACAATGAATATCTTCAAAATGTACGGTAACTTTTTCTTGTTGAAGAATTGTCTATTTATAATAGAAAGTACGCACTTGAAACACGTCATTGATACGATTAATGCTTGTCGGTTTTTTCCGATCATAAAACGTATTGACATTTTCAAAAGCTATAATCTTTGTCGCAGTTGTCTTAGGTGAGTTTCACCACGAATTCCAACAAAGAAATATCTTTTTTCTACTAGAACACTTATGTACACTCATAAGTTGTACATCGTGAAAGTTGATGCAATATCAATACGTTTTATGATCGGAAAAAACCGACAANCACCAAGCATTAATCGTATAAATGACTTGTTTCAAGTGCGTACTTTCTATTATAAATAGACAATTCTTCAACAAGAAAAAGTTACCGTACATTTTGAAGATATTCATTGTCAACCTAAATACACACGAAAAATACTATTGATATCGACAGGTAAAAGATTTAGTTGACAACAGAAAAGAGTTTTCACTTTGAAAATCACTCATTACATAAACGTCTTTGGTAGTAACTTCAATGAAAAAGACTAACTAGAAATACGAAACTGTTTTCTTATGAGAAGAATATACAATGCGTATAGATCTTCAGAATTTGTGTACTATCCCTTACCTTATAACGTTTTCTGTTACTTAAGTTTCGATATTATTTCAGAGATCACGCAACGTCGCTGTTTTTATACCAATGAAATTTTTACAAAAAGTATGGAGCATGGTGCGAGGAGCTATTAATTTTGTACACAATATAATCAAGCGAATATGGGGGAAAACTGAAAGTGAAGTACATGATAGATACGATGAAATCAAATATGAAAGAGAACCATTTAAAGAAGCCTTTGCATTGCGAATCAATGATAGAAATCTTGCAAGAGAAAGAAGAGAAGTGGAAAGTGTACTCACATCTGCTGAACTTGAAAGATTATATCGGTTAACGAAGATCTAAACAAATCACTTATCGTTTTTATATGATTATCGCATCTCTATTTATGAGACTTTCAATTGATTTTTTACTTGTTTCTTTTGTAAGTCATATTTATTTAATGATGAACTTTGTACTGATCTTTTCCATTGTTTGATTTCGTTTAATTGTTTGTGTTTAATTAAACGTCATAAGAATAGAGTTCTTGACGTGTTAAACTTCGAAGAAATTCACGATTTGAAAAGATTGTAATTTAAAAAGAATAAGAGAAACGATAGTTTTCGAAATAACTTCGATAAATAGTACCATATATAAAGTAGCTAAACAGTTATCATTACAAAAGTCTTTTTTTCTTTGAGAAAGCGAATGGAGCAGTATAGTAAAAGAGAGGCATGAAATTCATATCTTCACTCAGACACTTCGTCTAATTCTTTTAGCAATTTGTTTTTTAAAAATATTGTTTATTATTTAGAAATATCGTTGTATTAAAGTGATTCGTATCTCTGACATCCTGTCGATATTATTTGGTTCATTTTTCTGCACGAAAAGTATCCAAACGTAAGTGAAATATTTCAGTTGTTGGGAAGTAGAGAAATCAATTCTGTTTCTTTAGCGACATATATTGACTACTAAATATTTTGTAATGACATAGGAATTCTCAGAAAAAAATATGATAATGAATAATTTCGTTATTTTAGATGAGTTTAGAATGGGTTGAATACGTAGGTTTAACATTCAATTTTCTGGAAGTAGCGTGGAAACTGGTACGAGGTGTTATGAAATTTGTACATAAAATAATCAAGACAATATGGAATAAAACTGAAAAAGACGTTCGTAATAAATATGACGAAGTCAAAGACGAAGGAGAAAATTTTAAAGTAGCTTTTACATTACGAATTAATGAGCAAAATATTGCTAAACGAAGAAAAGAAGTCGAAGCTTCGCTCACATCCACTGAACTTGATAAGCTTGATTCGTTAATTCCTTGATTATTCAATACAAATCAGTTTTGACTTTTATCTTTTCTATTAATATCAATTCAAGAACTAAAGTCGTTTTGTTTTTATAATTAATCTTCCGATATTTCTTTTAAATTGTCTCTAAATAAATATAAAATGATTTGTTTTCACTAAAGAAATCATTGGAGCAAAAATCGTGTCATTTACATTCTTGTTGTTCAATCTAAATGTGTTTTTATTGAAAACATCACGTGTGGATGATTTCTTGAAGTGAATAAAAATCAAAGATTTTAAAGTACAATGGATTAATTTGTCAATTCTTACGAAAAAGTTTAAATCTCAATTAATAACAAATCTATTTAATAATCTACAATAAAGTTTATTTAAATATTTTGTAATTGTCTTTGTTGATGATGATAATAATGTTTAAATAAAGTTTTTTGAACATAATGTCGAGGACAAAGAAGTTTAATAAAAGCTAAACGAAATTCTTTTGATGTTAAAGCATAAACAAAGAAATTCAACTAAAAAAAGAAAACACAACTAATTGAAATCGTATAAGATAAAAGAGAGTTAAACTTACAGCTGAATTTGTATAACCAAGATAAGTAAATAAACGAAAAAGTTCTTGTTGAAATTGTGATGAAATTTGTAAATGAAAAATGGAAGTAAGTGAATGAAAAAGAAAGAATGGTAACCAACACGCAATAAATGCTCCCATAACAATTCCCAAAACTTTCGCTGCTTTATGTTCATGAGAAAATCTTGACCAACTTCGTGTTCGACGAATATTTCTTAATCTTTGTAGAAAAATCAATGATAAAGACGATGAACGATGATCTAATGGTGAATTATCCGGAGATGATTGATTATATTTTCCTTTATGAATTCTCAATGTGATTTGTTGTCGTTCATTTGAAGATTTTCTTTGTGAAGGTTTTTTTAAACGAATCGATGAAAGAAAGAAAGGTGTTGAAGACATTTCCTGAAGACTTTTCGTTTGTTTATAACCTTGACGAAATGCTTGAATTTGTTTTCGAGAAAAAATCAAAATTTTCCCATAGACAAACACCATGATGATCAATGGAATATAAAATGAAATCAATGAAGAGATTAAAACAAAGATCGGATCAGATGGAAATTTGCATCGTTGAATTTCACTTGAATTCTTTTCACCGAGAAAAAGAACAAACGGAACCGAAAGAAATCCCGAACAAAACCAAATTGAACCGATGACAATTGACGAATGTTTTCGTAAAAATGATTGAGAATATGTTATTGGAGATCGAATTCCTTTATAACGATCAATTGAAATAACACACAATGCTAAGATCGATGCCGTTGATGCACCAACATCAGTAATGTGCCAAATCTGACATAAATATTTCGAAGGACTTACGGAAAAGATTTCAAAAAAGATCGCAAAAGGTATTACAAGAATTCCAACACATAAATCAGCTAAAGATAATGAAACAATGTAATAATATGTGGCATTATGAAGAGATCTTTCGCGATAAACTGCTAAGATAACAAGACAATTTCCAACAATTGTTAATAAACAAATGAAGATTAACCAAAATATTCCCTTGAGAAACATTTTCATGACGAACATCAAAAGTAAATAGATCAAAATGTAATATCGTCAATCTGTTGACCTTGTGAGATGAATAATGAGCAGCAATGTAGGCGTGAAGATAGACGAATATTTCATCTGGAAGTCTTTCAATGAAATCCATCAAATAAATAATTCAATAACGGAAGGAAATCTTCAGAAGATTTGCGTTGCAACGATATTGATTCTCTTCGATTTATTAAAGATGAAAATGATCATCTCAGTGTTTCCTTGTGATCTTTTCAAAAAAAAGATTTATTCAATCATTGTTTACAAAAACAAAATTTGGTTTATTTTTCTTCTTTGGAATCAATTAACAATGTCGTTGAAAATCCGTTTCCATTGTTAAAATCACAGAGAACAAAGAAGAAAAAGAAAAATGATAAATTTGGATCTCAAATCGAATTGAAATGAGACAAAATTTAACCTCATCCACCTTGAGGTCTTCGTCGAGAAGAAGGTCGCCATCCACATGAATCTCCATTAGAACGATTCGATTGTCCTGTTAATGGATTATGATCTGATGAACGATATTTCAATCGAGTTGGCTTTTCATCTGTTGTCGATTTCATTGCTTCGAGTTTCTAAAAGAAAAAGTTTGTTTATAATGAAATGAATCATTTCAAAAACCAACCGCTTGTTTTTCTGCTAAACGACGTTGAGCTTCTTGTTCATATCGTTTCTGTTGTTGTTCTCGCACTTTTTCCATCTGTTCATATTGATTTATTCTTTGTTCTTTTCAAGAGAAAAATCAAATTTCGTCTGTTGTTTTTTTCTTCTTCTTCAAATCTTTTCAACTGACCTGTGGATAAACGATTTTCTCTTGGAGAATTTCGTTTTTTATAATAAATCACAATTGCAATAAGTAAAACAACGAAAACAATCCATTGATAAGTAACTAAAATCAAATTTCAATGACAAATTTTGATTAAAAAAGAAGAATTTTCTTTCTTTTACTTATTTTGTCGAAAAAAGATTTTTCAAAGAAATTAGTTTTTTCCTCTGATTGAGAGAAAATTTGTGAATTTGAATCCACTTCATCTTCAATTGTCACATCATCCATTTCTTCAAGAAATAAAATGAAAAGAAAGCAAAAACTACGTCGATAACAACAAAACCAATGAAAATATTTTTCAACAAAAATACAGATGTCACTGAATTTCATTTAAATTATCAAAACAGTTCAAAAATTCTTTTTTTCATTTCAATTGTACTTTTAGTCTGAAAAATTCGCTTTCTCTTCACTGATCAATGGTATCAAAGTCCATTTTCTCAGTGCAAAATCTTTTTGTGACTGATGTAATCAATTCTGGGTCACATATTTTGTTAATATCACTCTAATAATAACGATTGTCGATAAAAGACAATCTGTGAAACATTAGTATTCGCCCTACAAATGTTGTGTTACACTTTTTATTATTATTTCAATGAAGTCAAATTCAAATATATGTCGATAAATGATTTTTGATCTTCAATGGGCGTCACAGATGTTTTTTGAAAAGATTTCTTTTGAAATGTAAATGTTTGTTTTTCTCGCGACGATAGAATGTGATAATGATTTCAAATGTTAATAACAATAATTTCTTATCGAAAAAAGAAAGTTCTTGAAAAACAAATAAGAAGAAAATAATCTTTGTCATATCTTTTAACTTCTCATCTTTTCAAAAGTTAAAGACGTGTTGATAAGTAAGATAAATAAAATTGATAATGGTAAAAGATCAAATTTCACCAACGTCGAATGAAAAATGAACATTTTTTTTGTCTTTCAATTAAAAGGATCAATCAAAAGAATTAGCTGTCAGTGTTCAAAATGGATGTAAAAATTACGGACATTTTTGGAATTCTACACGTGTTTTACACGATATTACACTTAACGTTCCCATTGGAATTATGTAAATGAATATTTTTCCGTTGAAAAACAAAACGAAAGAAAATGCGAATTTGTTCGTAGATATGGTTTATTAGGACCAAGTGGATGTGGAAAAACGACGTTATTACGTTGTATTGTTGGTCGTTTCGAATTGAATTCAGGTGAAATTTTATTATTTGGAAAACATCCTGGAAGTTATGGACATGAAATTCCTGGCCGATCAGTTGGTTATATGCCACAAGAAAATGCTCTTTATAAGAATTTTTCTATTTCGGAAATGCTTCATTATTTCGGTCGTCTTCATCATATGTCGAAAAAGGAAATTTTATCTCGAGTAGAATTTCTCATTCATTTTCTTGATTTACCTTTAAAAACGAGAAAAGTTGCTCAATTAAGGTTGGTGTTTTCCTTCGAATGAAAATTGAAATGTATTCTTTTGAATAGTGGTGGACAACAACGTCGTGTTTCATTGGCATGTGCACTTCTTCAACAACCGAAATTATTAATTCTCGATGAACCGACTGTCGGAGTTGATCCTTTACTTCGAGAAAAGTCTGTTCGAAACAAATTGTCTCTATTTAATACATTTCATTTTAGAATTTGGACACATTTAATTGAAATTTGTCAATCAAGTCAAACGACGATCATTATCACAACTCATTACATTGAAGAAGCAAGAAAAGCCAATCGAGTAAGAGAAAATATTTGTATGAAAAAAAAAGAAAAAAAACACCAAGTTTTGTAAAGGTTGGATTGATGAGAAGTGGAAGAATGTTGGCAGAAGATGAACCATTGAAGCTTTTAAATCAATATAATCAAACAGTTGTTTTTGAAAAGAAACAAATTTTCGTTGTCAAAACGAATTTGTTAATTTTAGAGTTTGGAAAATGTTTTTCTTCATTTGTGTTTCAATGATCAAAATCGAATTGAAAGAGAAAATCTTCCAATTTCATTCGCAAATCCTTTAACAACAGAAGTTAACACAGATAATTTTCTTCCAATGAATACAAATCAAATCAAAAGTTCGTTTTCATCGAGTTTGTTTTTATTCAACATTTTCGTTGGTTTGATCTTTGAAGAAAGTTCCAAACCAAAAAAAATTCTTCGAGATTATTTGGTTTTTCCTAAATTACATAAAATTCTCGCATTGATTATCAAAGATTTAACAGTTATCAAAACAAATATCGGGTAAGAAAGAGAAATTCGCTGAAAAATCTGAAAATTCTTTTGGAAAGATTTTTATTTTTTCAATTTTTAATTCCTGTTATTCAAGTTTCGTTGTTTTGCCTTTGTATTGGACGTAAGTGACACAAGGAGAATGACAAAAAATTAACTGAAATGAATTTTTTTCAGGTGATCCGAAAGCTCTTCCAATGGCACTTTTTAACAACGAATCTCTCAACAATTTCCCCACGGGCAATGAGAGTTTACAACTCCTTAGTCAAATCAATTCGGATCAAATTCATTTTGTAAAAAACAAATTCTTTTTCCGAGAAATTATTATCGTTTCTTTTCAAGAATTCGTTTAATAATTTCGATCAAGCATTGAACTCGGTAAAACAAGGTCGATATTGGGGTTTAGCTGAAATTCGAACGAATTTTACTGAAGCGATCAATGACAAGTTTGTTTTTCCCCTCTTTCTCTCTTCGTTTTGAAAAAATCATTTTTATTGCTGAGCAGATTTTTCAAATTTCAAACGGATCCATTAACATTAAATACATCGTCAATTCATTTATATCTCGATATGACAAGTAAAGTCGTTGAATGAAATTCGAAATGTTCGATGAATTATTCTTTGTAATCAGATCAACAAGTGACATTTACAATGCAAAATGTGATTTTAAATGGAACAGAAATGTTTTTAAAACGATTTTTATCTGAACATGGCTTTGATCCTTCGATTGTTAATCCACCTGTAATTATTGAAAATCCCATTTATGGAAGTTTAACTCCGAAATTTTTGAATTTCGCGGCACCGGGAATGATGATATCGGTCATATATTTTTTAGCGCTCTGATATTTGTTGTTGAGAAAAAAAGAAGGTCTTTTAGAACGAAGTTGGATCGCTGGTGTAACGATCATCGAAATTATGTTTTCACATATCATTGTCAAGTTTTTTATTCAAATTATTCAAGTTGTACTTTTAATTGTTTTTGCACATTTCATCTTCGAAGTTTGATTTCGTCGATTTCTCATTTTCTTTTCTCATTTTCTCTTCATTTTAGGTGGAATTTAAAGGATCATTATTATTATCAATGGCTTTGATTTTTCTTCAGGGAATTTGTGGAATGACTTATGGTTAAATTCAATGACATGAAAATTTGCATTTCATTTTTCTGTTTTTCTTTAGGTTTATTGATCTCTTCATTCTGTGAAAATGAAATGCAAGTTATGGAAGTTGCTATGGGAAGTGTTTTCCCCATGTTACTTAGTTCAGGTTTGTTGAATTGTATTGGAAATGATTTTTTTTGTATTGATTGCTTTTCATTCGAAGGAATTCTTTGGCCAGTCGAAGGAATGCCATCAGTTATGCGTTTTCTCAGTCACTTTACACCGTTAACATATCCTGTTGAAGCGATTCGATGTATCGCAGCACGAGGTGAGAGAATAATAGGGAATGATTTTTGTTTGTTAAAAACGAATATTTCTCTTTGAAAGGTTGGTCATTTGTTTACTACAAAGTTTGGCTTGGATTTCTCATAACGAGTTCCTGGAGTTTAGCATTTTTCATTATCGCTGCTATTTTACTCGCGTTGAAAAAATAATTCTCCTTTTTTTTCTTTGCATTTAATAAAGAGTATCGTTTGGTAAAACAAGGAAATGAATTTGATTGGCTTAGGAAAAGAAAGAACATATATGATGGAAAAAGTCATCTCAATCTCTTTTCTCCAATCTAAAAATGTCTGATAACGTTGAAATTGTAAATCCAAATGAACAAAGGTAAACATAAATGTTTTTCTCTGGAAAAAATCCTTCATGTTCTGTTTTTGAAGAAAATGTTCATTTTATACAATTCGATCGTATTTTATTCTTTTATGTTTCATTGTCTTATGTCAATCAATGATCACATCTGCATATTTAAGTTCGATTATTTCTTCAATTGAGAATTATTATGGATATTCAACAGAATTAATTGGCATTGCTCTGAGTTCATATGATCTCATTTCAGTTATTTCAATTCCTTTATTTTCTTTCATTGGTTCGAGATTTAATCGTGCAAAATTAATCTCTTTTGGCTCATTTTTCTTTGCATTGGGAAATATTTTGTTTATTTTACCATATTTTATCAATGGTTATGATATTAATCAATTGACCAATCAAACGAAAAATTCGTCATTCGATGAGTTTTGTTCTTCGAATATTTCAATTGAATCTCTTTATGAACCTTTCACACGACTTTCTCCATCTTGGTCCTATTATGTGATCATTCTATCAATGATTATCATGTCGATAGGTTCGAGTCCATTTTATACTTTGGGAATTACCTATTTAACTGATCATTTGAATAAAGATGATCAACCGATTTACACAGGTAAGGTTTTCTTTGAACAAAAAAAAAGAATTTTCTTTTGATGAAAAAAGGAATTTTGTATGGAATGGTCGCTTTGGGACCTGGAATTGGTTTCGTTTTGGGTTCATATTTTGGATCGAAATGGATAAATATAAATGATGAAATCGATTCGTTTGATTTGAATAAAAATGATCCTCGATGGATTGGAAGATGGTGGGCGGGATTTTTAATTTCCTCGACCTTGTTGTTTCTTCTTTCCATAATTTTATTTACATTTCCATCTTCTTTATCAAATCATTCTCAATTACAACAAACAAATCAAAATGAATCTTCAACAAATTTTCAAGGTCACAACTTTTTTTTCTCTTTGTCATATCCAAAACAACTTTTTTTCTTTCAGTTTTTCGCAAGAATCTCATTGAATTATTGAAAAATGTCACATACATCTCCATTTCATTGATCAATGCAATTGAAAATGTATAGAAAATCTTTTTCTTTCTTCCAAAAAAGAAATATTTCCTAATTGTTGATCAATTTAGATTTTAGTTGTTTTATTTACAACATATTTGATCAAATACATTGAATCAGTATTTAATTATTCCTCATCATATTCGAGTATCTTAACAGGATTAATTTTATTACCATCAGCTATACTTGGAACAATCTCAGGTGGATTTTTAGTTCGACGTTTTCATTTAACAATCTTTGGTTGCATTAAATTGATCTTTATATCATGTTTGATTTCTTTGATAAGTTTAATTTTGATTTTATTCTTAAAATGTCAATCAAATATTCGATATTCATTTGATGATCAATGTTCTCAAAAGTGTCATTGTTCCTCATTGATTTACGAACCAGTTTGTTATGAAAATCAAATCAATTATCTTTCTCCATGTTATGCAGGTTGTACAAACAAAAATCAAACGGTAAGGTCAACATATTTTCTTCTAATTAACGTCAAAACTTTGGAAAATAGAAATCATCGTTATTTTTTATCAAAGTTGAGATGACCTTTTTATGTTTGGATCGAAAGAAAAGTTCCTTATTTTTTTTTCTTTTCTTTTAAGAATTATCTGAATTGTCATTGTTTATCAAATGGAACGATGGTTGAAAAAGGTTTATGTGAGAATAATTGTCAAATGGAATTGATATTTTTCTTTGTAATTTTATTTTTGGTGACATTTTTCGAAACTTTAATGGCAACACCACAATTAATGATTATTTTACGTTCGACAACAGAATCTTTGCAATCATTTGGATTGGGTTTAGAAAATTGTCTGATGAAGATTCTTTCTCAAATTCCAACACCGATTTTATTTGGAATTTTGATTGATAAACAATGTTTATTTTGGTCGAAATCGTCACTATTTAATCATTCAACATCGTGTTTGATTTACAATCAAAAGCAATTTTCATTTACTTTATTTTTGACGATCACTCTTATCAAAACGATTTCGTTTTTCTTTATTTTATTTTTATTTTTATTTCATTGGAAAAAACAGAAAAGCCTTTTAATAGAAAATCCTGGAGAGCGAGAACATCTTTTAAATAATTCATCGACAGATATTCAATAAAATCATATTTGCGACAAAAAATTTCCTCTACCTTGATTCAATACGCAGCTATTCGATTAATTCAGGTAAAACTGTCTGATGTGATGATTCTCTTACCAATGAGTAATTAACGATAGTTCGAAGGATTGCTTTTTTTTTGTCAGGGCAAAACGAGTTAAATTATTGCGAATGATTGATAAATGAAGAACGAGAAAAATAAATGAGCTGCGTTTAGTCGTTATATAAAACGTTTATTTGTTTGTCGACATTTATTTTCGTTGAATTATGTCACGACGAAAAGGTAAAAAACAAGTGGAGACCTTGGCTTGGATCACCGATGATGAAGCTGAATTTTGGACGGTTCGATTTCTGATTTTTCAGTAAGAAATTTTTTACACGAAGTCTTGTTGTTTTTAGAGTATCACACCAAATCGTAAAATTGCCGAACATGAGAAAATGAAAAAATATGCTTCAGACAATGACCTACCTGACGGTGATCATTTTCGTTTCGATCGTTCGTTAAAAGCAAAAAAACAACAAGAGAATCTACTTGAGAAGGAAAATCAACGTCATTCGGCGGATAATTTCAATTCAAAAAAAAATTCATTGGATCAAGTGAAAGAAATCAATGAAGAAAATCAACATTTTATCGACAAGCCAACGATTGAAAGGGAAAAAAACGATAAATTCTTTTCTCGATTAATTCAAGAATTAAAAGGTTCGTCAATCGATAATGAAGAAAATGTTCAATTGAATCAACAAAATAGTTTCGAAGATTATCAACAAATCAGTACAAATGACGTCATTGCAAATCAAAATCAACAGCAATCGACAATCTCCAATGAAGAAAACGAAACAAATCTACTTTTCGATCAATTTCATTCGTTTATCGATGAAATTACCGAAGAATCGTTTGTGATTACTGGAAGTTTAGATGAAGATACACTTCTTAATCGGAGAAGTAGACGTGCAAAAGGTTTTTCAGCTTTCAAATAAACGAACAAAACTTATCGAGATGAAGAAGTTTTGTCTTTGGAGTACAACTGAGCGTCGTCATTTTATCTCAAAGGAATAATAAATCAATTAATTTCTTTTCTACGAAATTCAATGATTTCTTCTTTTTGTTCTTTAATGGTGAAAGATTTTCTAAAAAAAATATGTAACAGATTTTCTTTTTAAACAAAATTCAATAAAGAATAAATCAAAACATCTGTTCTTTCCAACGTCATTGGAAGATACAAAAGAAAATAACATTTTCTTGTTCATCCTTATGTACCAAAAGTATAAAAATCTTCTTTCTTCAAATTCAAATGTCAAATTCAATCAATAAACTTTCATTTCCAATCAAAGTCCAACTGCAACTGAGCTGACGTCATTCACTGTAGGCGTTCGAATACAAATTGAATAGAAAACAAAAACAAAGAATCTAGGGAAAAAGGCTAATGAATCCAATGGAATGAAAGAGAAGAAATTAAATCCATCTGATACATTCATTTCGTAACATCAGGAATAATCATTAAGAGTATTTTCGAGAAACAATTTCAAAATAAGATTCCATATAAAATCCGCTGAATATTTCATTTCACGACATTTCACATATTTTCTTACTCTGAAAGCATTGTCGTTTACATTGACAACCAAAAATGCGAACGACATTCTTTATACTCCTATCTGCAATTGCGTTTCTCCAACTCCCATCATGTTCATTTGCGAGTAAGACTTTCTTTTTATACTTTGCTATGTCTTTCAACTTCATCTTTGCCTCTTCTTCTTCTCCTCAAGCTGCCCAAACGAAAACAGCGGCAGTCGATGCTCATATGGTCGTGAATAAAGGTGGAACTTTGAAAGGAACTATGGTTATTACAAATTGTGATAAAACTTCTCTCACACAATCGAAAGAAACTTTAACAAACACATTAACGAAAAAAGTACAAGCTGATGATACCAAAAATTCAAATTCGAAAGTTAGTGTCACGGGTATTCGAGAATTAGAACCAGGAACACTTGCTTTCGATTACGAATGCACCGAATCTAAAAATCCCGAAAAAGCTAAAGAAACGTTGAATACCTGTGTGAAACACGATGATGTGAAGAAAGTTATTGCAAAATCATCATCCAATGTTGCTACAACCCAGGCAAAACAACAAGCAAATGTTCAACAAAGTAAGTGACCTTCTATCTAATAGAACTTTCGATTATCTGTAGTGCAAGATTTCTTTCTTGACGTCGTTTACAAAGGAAATGAAGAATTACTTTGGCAATATCATTTTATCTTATTTTATCTATTATCCACTTCTTTTCTCTAAATAATATTTTCTATTCGTAGCTAAAGCTCAACCGGCTACTCAAGCACCAAAAGCTGCAACAGCAGCCCCGAAATCTTCCCAAAGCAAACCAACCAAAGCTGTTAATCTCGATTGTGACAAAACACATCAAATCGTCGCTCAAGATGAGAATTCAATTACTGGTGTATTTACTGTTCATTCTTGTAAAGCATCACGTTTCACTCAGAAACAAAGTCGATGCACATCTCTCGGTAGTAAACTCAGTTCATTAGTCACCGATCGTGTAGCTAAAACTGGTGATAAGAAACCATGTAGCGTTAATATCGTTAAAGCAAGTGGTACATCAACTTCAACTGAATTTCGGTACACACTTCCATGCGAGAAAAGCCGTCAAAAAGCTGTTATTGATTCGCTAAAAGACGCTTGTAAAGACAAAAATTTTGCAGATACAATTACAAATATCAAACAAAAAGAACAAGGAGAATCGAGTTCGTCCGAAAGTGATGAAAATAACAAGAGTCCAAGTAAACCAGTTAAAGTTGTGCAAACTGAACAGCCAAAGACAACCACGACAGCCAAACCAACAGAGAAGCCAACGACTGCCAAGCCCACAGAAAAGCCAACGACTGCCAAGCCTACAGAGAAGCCAACGACAGTTAAGACAAGTGAGTCGAATTTTGCCCTTCATTCACAAGTATACTTTCTTTTCGTCACTCAAAATGAATGCACATATGTGTGGTGATGACAGAGACATGTAGAACAAAAATAAGGATTCAGTACAATCATGTACAATTTTAGCTCCACGCAAAACCACCAAGGCCGGTGCAACGAAGAAACCACCAGCCACAACACGTAAAGTTGAAGTGAAGAACTGCGATGACCATGACTACAACGACAAAGACCAAGTCTTGACCGGTAAAATCGTTGTTCAAGACTGTCCATGTGAGAAGCGATTCGCTAACAATGCATCACGTCTTGCTGCCGTTTCATCAACTGTCTGCACACAACTCCGAAACTACTTCCAACAACTGTATGGAACAAAGATCAACTACCCATGCAGTCTCAAAGTAGTCGCAGGAAACAAAACGCACACCGTGTTTGCATACACCGTTAACGTACCACAATCAGAACAGAGCAAAGCCAAAGCGGCAGCCAAGAAGGCCTGTCAAGATGATCAAGTAAGTGAAAGCGGCCGTGATAGAAGTTACACATGGCCGCAAAGCAGACACTCGAGAAAAAGAGAAACGAGTGTTGAGGAATGTTTTACTTATTCTAGGTGAAAAAAGTTATCGAACAAGAGTCGCTCAAACGCGACGGCGATGACGATAGTGATAGTAGCAGTTCGGAAGAAACCACACGCGCGCAAGCCAAGCCTGTAACGACCCAAAAGGCTACTGAGAAGCCGACGGAAAAGCCAACAACTGCCAAGCCCACAGAGAAGCCGACGGAAAAGCCAACTACTTCCAAGCCCACAGAGAAGCCGACAACAGTTAAGACAAGTGAGTCGAATTTTGTTTCGTCTTTATAGGTGTCATTTTTCTCTTCACTCAAAATGAATACCTAGAGTAGTGTGAAAGATTGTAGAATCAATCTCTTCCTTCGCTTTTTCTTGGCTTTTGAAACGTCACTGATGTTTTTTCGTTCTACATTTTACACTATTACAACAATTCAAAGATGTTCTTCCATATTTTATTCGAATAAAATATGAAAGAATATCTATGAATCGATCCCTTTTCCGAGAGAAAGGGTTATACAGCGGTTAACTCCTGGGCTCAAAAAGCTTAAAGTTTGTCTCTCTGTCTGTCCTATCCAATCAGAAAGCAGCATTTGTTAAATCATTGAAATTTACGGATGGCATCCAAAAACTGAGTACTAGTAAGGTAATCTGGGTCGAGGAACTCAAATTCCTTGTTAGTTTTTCCTTCACTCACTAAGATCCATCTTCTTCCTTTCTCTTTCTGAAGCAGATGTTTTTCTGAATCTTTTCTAAAATCTCGTATAGAAGGTAGTGGATGAATCGCTATTTTTGGGTATGATGTGTGCGAGATAGCGGTTTTGGTCGTTGCACCAAAAAGATTTAGCATATCTTACATTATCATATTTGCCTTGTGAGCTACGATACGTGACGTCTTTTGATAGAATTTTACGGGAAATAGATCCCCTAAAGAGTATACTCGTCAGTGTAATTGTATCTTATTATCCATAATGATAACGGCTAGCGGCGAGTGACTGACCGGAGTTTGGCCTACGAATGACTAACCATTAAGCGGTGGGAGTTTAGTAAACATAGCTAGTACTTGAAAAATATTCTCTGACAAATGGGTGATTGATTCGGTTCATGAAAAAAGAAGAGTTTTTGTCTTGTATTGACTCTCGTGTGGGACACAACGCCATGATCTAGCTCGGGAACAGTAGTAACCGCAGTGTCCTATTTGTTCTTCAATGAATCGGAATATGTTCAACAGTAGACCAGTTCTTTCAATAAAGGGTCGGCGAATCTAGGGTGAGGGTTACTTGTTGTACTAGTGCAAAATGTACAACGAAAAAACATCAATGACATTTTAAAAAATCAAGAAACAACGAAGGGAGAAATTGATTGTATAATTTTTTCCCACCACTGTATATGACAATAGATAAAACTAACGTACTAGAGAGTAATCGTTGACGATTAAGAAATACTGTATCGAGCGTTTCATGCGTTGAAGAACTAAAGCAGACAGAGAGATCAATATTCTACAAACTTCTTCGTTTTCGAGCCCCTATTTTTCAGCCATGCATTGCAACTAACGATAGTTTCCATCGCATTTCTTGGTAGTAAAGAGAGAAATATCAATGTTGGGCGAGGCGGTTACGGCGGGGAACTTTACAGATCAATACTAGCTACACAATCAAAGCTAGTTTTTACATCATTTAAAACTATGAAAACTGTTTCTTTCACAAAAGTTAATTGTCGCCTTCAGAAGAGCGCTCATCAAACTCATTTTCATCATCGCGATACTCTTTACATCCTGTTCTTCATATTCACTCAGCCATTCTCTATCACCATCGGATACACACACAACCGCATCTAAACCCTGAGCTTTATTTTCAACTAAAGCGTTAATAACGCAGCTTCCATTTACCCATACAAATACCCTCTTCTATGTGCAAAAGCATCTTCAAAGACTTACTAACTCTAAAAATCTTTTGCCTAACTCGTGCAACTTCACCGATGTCTACTATTCAGACCCGCCGACTTAACCCACTGCCTAAGCCAACAGCATGTAAAGTTTCCTCAATCCGACACATGCAGAAACTGAATGTGTACGGCATGAACGAAAACTTTTCGCTTCATGTTAAAAATATCCTAAAGCGATCAGCGTACAGGGAGCTTTCGCAGCACATTCTCCAACTCTTTTCAAAAGCTATAATCCTGTGCGTCAAGCCAAGATTCCCTCTAACGAATCTCAGGTTCAATTATACCGCCGCAACCTATCGATTGGCCCCACATCCGCCTAACACCGTACCAAGGGAATTTACGTTACCGCAGACACTATCGCACACAGTGAGAAGCGACCCAATCAAGAACATTCCCTCCACATAAGTCATAGTACGCTAACGACAAAAGCACACATTACCGATATAATATTCTATCTCAGAAGCCCTACAGCGACGCACTTTCTAAGAGCCATCTACTTTTCTGCCTTTCACCTATCACATACAATTCTAGCT